AAGGAGCCAAACTTAATGATAGATTTCTGTCAAATTTCTTTATCATAGGCTACATTTACTGTTTCTAGCCTATTTTCATTCTTCCACTATTTCCTAGTGTGATATTTCCTTTAAAATTGATCAAAATATAAGCCTGCACATGCATTTTAATCTTTAGCACCAATGATTAAAGGGAAATAACCTTGCTGTAATTTCAGACCACAATAAAGCAGTTTCTGAGAGCTGATCTATATCAGATGCCAGTTGAAATATATCTGATTTTCCAGTCATTTGTCCCTCTAGACGGAAATAATAAAACATGCCTAGAAGATAGAGATGTATTTCAACTGTCCTCACAACCCTGTGTTTTGGGAGTAATTATCCCTGTCTGGACAGAAGCAATAACTGGGCTCGCCGCTGTGGATTTGGACTGACAAATAACCCATTAAACAATATAAAACAATGGAATATTCTAATATAATTTATTCATATTGAAGATTATACAATAGATAAACACATAAAACAAAGAATAAACAGAATGTAGGTGACTTTATCTAGAAAGTTGTAATACAAAATCATACAAATAATTTGATTGATTAGACAAAAATATTGTAGATTTAAAATAATCATACCAAGACACATTATCTGAATAAAATACAACTCATAATATTGTTTCATTAATTCCTAGCTTTGTATTTTAATAACAAAGAGTGCTGTTACTCACAGAAAAGAAAGGAAACAAAATATCTTGAGCTGTATCTTAATTAGATTAAGTGAACTAACCCACTGAAAATACAGAAACAAAATATTGAGAGCTGTCTTTAATTACAAACAGTACTGTAACCCACAGAAATATCTAGAGCTATTTTGATACGATTAAGTGGTGAAGTAATCCCACAGAAAACAAAGGAAACCAAATATTGAGAGCTGTATAAGGGTGATAAACACAAACAGGCTTAAGGCATCATTCCAATTAACTAAATAAGATTGATGTAAGCTTTAAACGGTTTCATCTTAGTTACCTCTATCTTAATTTACCGGTATATCTGTCAGTCCAAATCACAGAAACAGATTCAAAATACATCTACATACAATAGATGAATACAGAAAAAATACCTTGTACACCTAGGTATCATAATTAGAAATAGAATGTCTTGAAAACGTAAATATAAGCAATAAACTGTTACCCTATGACGATTATGGTCGTATATCAGGACAAATGTAGGCTCGACCTTGCAGCTAACCTTTGTCCTGATATACCACCATAATCGTCATAGGGTAATAGTTTATTGCTTAAATACATCAATTATAGAACTGTTAAAACAGAACCTAAACAACCATGTTGTTACTCAGAGTTTCATGCTATACGATCTTCAGACAGCTGACGTATTTCAGTCTGAGTCCCTACTGAACAGGACAGCGAACCTGTAAATAAAAAAACAATTCAAAATATTAACTGAGGCTCATTAGAAATATATCTGTTACAAACACAAACATTCATACCAGTCTAAAGATGACAGCTGAGAGCACATTTAACAGAAAATACAGGGGAATATATTATGGTATAACACACTTCTTTATTTTCCAATCTTCATCAAAATGACCTAATCTGCATGAGATACACCTACAATTTCATCAATTTTTTGGCCCAGATCTACTTTGATTGGGTCTGTTATTTCTTGCTGGATTCACAGCTAGAAAAAATGTCAGTAAAATATCTAAGTTAACTTACATGATATGTTTCAATCAAGGTTCAAAGATGGTTCCAGTATTTAACAGTATCAAAGTTCAAGTATTTAACAGTATCAAAGTTCCAGTATTTAACAGTATCTAAGTACCAGTATTTAACAGTATCAAAGTTCCAGTATTTAACAGTATCAAAGCTCCAGTATTTAACAGTATCTAAGTACCAGTATTCAACAGTATTTAAGTACCAGTATTTAACAGTATCTAAGTACCGGTACCAGTATTTAACAGTATCTAAGTACCAGTATTTAACAGTATCAAAGTACCAGTATTTAACATTATCAAAGTACCAATGTTTGAGGGGAGGGTGGTTGTTAGCGGGCTAGTCTATCAGTGAACAACTCATCTCATCTACCTGAAAAATAACAGATCAATTATTAGACTAAATTAATGTTTTATAAAACCAACTAGAAATATTTACATTTCTATTATCATTCCCTTGAAGAACCAGTTTTATCTGTATAGAGCCAACTATAAATATAGTAAGAGTTTATATGGGGAATCGATCGAGGGTACAGAAAGAAAAGGTTGAAAACCCTGGCCTGCTATATATCGTTATTCCAACAAAATTCATATTACGTCAAATGGTTAGTTGGCTAGCCAGGATTCTTAGAAAACCAAACAGTTCTTTAGTCCAACCATACTCCTATATTCAAACAAATGCTTTGTCGTTAAAACAATATTCGTATAACCCAGAAACTAAATTAAGAACATACCTGATAAGCCCACTATGTAGGTATCTATGACGTGTTTTAAGATATGATGATAATCAACTTTCTCTTTTAATTTGTCTGGTTTTCTGTTTTTCTATCTTACACATGACCAGGTGTGCCATCTGAAATACAACAATTTATTGATAAAGAAATCAACAGCTCAAACTCTCTATTGACAAGTTAGATTCTCTATCATCAGTTCCAATAAGCCAGTTAGGAACTATCCCTAGACATGTGCAACACGTTTCTTCTCTACTTCCCCCTCGAGATAAACAACATCAATTTACAATGGACAGTAATGGAAAAAGGTATCATATAAAGGGTTTACTACATTGACAGTTGACAGACTGATGATATACTCTGTGAACTGAGCAAACTTGATCTGACAACTTAATAACCATCAATGAAGTAAACCCTTTATGTTATATCCTTTTCCATCACTGGCCATAGACTGTCATAGTAAATAGACGTTATTTATCCCCAGATACTTGAGATGGACAATTTACTTTGTTAATGTCTTTGAACAAAGCTCTTTAATAATTAAACTTACTTACCAATCAATACAGTATGTAAGTAACTTGACCTGTACATTGCTGCTGTCAATGAATCAGGCATTCTAGAACTTTTAACCATGGACCTGCTGATGTACCAGTTATCTGAAGGTTTGATTTAAAGATTGTCATTCAATATCAGTGCATATCTGTAAGCAAAGGAGGTATTGTTTTAAATTAAAAGTAGAGCATAATTTGTAAACAAACCTGGATAACAACACCTATCCAACTCTTGTGCGGTAATTTTAGGACCAGTAAATAAAGACTACCACATGCTTCGTAAAATTCATGTTTTGCATGAAATTCTGGGCAAAATGAAGGGTGGCAACTAACCAGTTTGAAAGAAAATGTCATCTGCTAAACACATAATAAAATATTAAAGCTAAAAATCATTTAATACCTTTGTTTTCTTCCATTTTTAACAATTAATTTTCATTTCATGGGAGCCGCCATTTTCTTTTATGATCTCTCGCATTTTGATTGGCTGAGCCATGGGGTTTGTCTAAACATCTAAATATAACCAAACTGATAAAGTCAACCCGAATCTAGGAGGCAATACTATCTTGTATACATTAATTCAAATGGAGTTTTACGCTCTACCCTTCTGCACCTGCTTTGGCTATTGATGACAGACAACGCTATGCAGTTTGCAATGAGGGAGGGAAATTTCGCAAGGACGTTCTCTTAAGGTCTTGATTGACAGCAAGAATACGAGGGAATTAGGTGTTTCTTGTATTGGGGAGACTGATAGATCTTGCAATTCCGCTAAAACTAGGCGTTTTATGTTGTCACCATCGCTACGCTTACCTTCGGGAGAAGCTTTAGATGGAACGGCTGTTCTCACGACCAAAGCCAGGCACTAACACCAAAGGTTTGGGAAGAAAAAAGACAATGAAATCGGACAATCGTTTACTTTATGTACACAACAGAATGATATCCACAACAATGATAACAATTTGGCTCTTCTTTAAACCAATAACAATAAAAAATATAAAAACAGAATTCAAGATGTCATTTTGAAGAATTCTTTTCGAAATCCACACTGATCGATTGCAGTTAAAATACACACACGTACATCTACAGTTAATAAGTCAATCAGTTTATTGATCTAGTTACTAGGTCAAACAGTTTATCGATCTAGTTACTAGGTCAAACAGTTTATCGATCTATATCGTCAGTTTATCGATCTACAGTTACTAGGTCAATCAGTTTATCGTTCTACAGTTACTAGGTCAATCAGTTTATCGATCTAGTTACTAGGTCAATCAGTTTATTGATCTACAGTTACTAGGTCAATCAGTTTATCGATCTACAGTTACTAGGTCAATTAGTTTATCGATCTACAGTTACTAGGTCAATCAGTTTATCGATCTACAGTTACTAGGTCAATCAGTTTATCGATCTACAGTTACTAGGTCAATCAGTTTATCGATCTACAGTTACTAGGTCAATCAGTTTATCAATCTACAGTTACTAGGTCAATCAGTTTATCGATCTACAGTTACTAGGTCAATCAGTTTATCGATCTACAGTTACTAGGTCAATCAGTTTATCGATCTAGTTACTAGGTCAATCAGTTTATCGATCTACAGTTACTAGGTCAATCAGTTTATCGATCTACAGTTACTAGGTCAATCAGTTTATCGATCTACAGTTACTAGGTCAATCAGTTTATCGATCTACAGTCAATCAATCAGTTTATCGATGAGGCCAGTGTTTTTAGCTCCAAGTCCAATAATATACACCCATGTTGTATAGAACGCACACACGATCCACTTTTCTTTGCTTCATTTTATGCCCAGAGTTTTAACTTCGTATCGGAATAGCACATGCATATTGTTCTTTCGTCAAAACCAAAATGACATTTACTTTCCCAATGAATGCACGTGCATTCTTATCCTAGGCATTTACAAGAGATCTACACAATGAAGTTGTAGCACAGGATACACACTATCAATTGAATATGCCGGATGAGATAGAATTAGTTCAATGTTAAATATGCATGTGCATTTCAATACGCGTGTGGTTGCATAAGGTCAGTGTTATTTTGCTGGTAATATTGACCCTGTTGCTGATAATACGATGAATAGTGAGCATTTTGAGATGGGGCGAGGTGAGATGGGACGGAGTAAGCAGTGGGGGCCTCAGGGTAATGGCCAATTGACGGGGAGTAGCGAGGTTGCCCTTGGGAATATTCGTGGGGTTCTTCAGAGGTTCCGTTGTGAGGTTGTCTATACTCTTCTTCAGCCTCATTGGAGTAACCTTCATCGTTAGAAATTCCTGTGGATGATTCACTCTTGTCCTCGCTTATTCTTTGTCGTTTTCCAGGGTTGTCGTATTCGCTTGGTAGCTGTTCCTCGGGCTGGCCTGGGTTGTCGAGGGACTGAAGCAGGGCGGAACCAGGATACATCTGAGGAGTCATATTATTAGGCGCTACTGTCACATTGGGTGGACTATGAGGCGATCGTCGAACCGAACCATCGTGATTTCTTTTCAGGACGTTTTCGGAGCCGTAAGTATATCCTTCGCCGTTTGCGATCGGACTCTGCTCGCTGTATGGTCGCATGGAAGTATGATTCGGAGAGTACTGTTCTTGTGCTGTGGGGTAATTTGGCATGTATGGTCTACTCATTGGTGGGTAGGGGATCTGTGGTCGCATCGGTGGCTGAACAGCGGCAGGATGGGCTAATGGGTAGAATCCGGGACGATACTGTGGGTTGTTGTATGCAGCTAGACCGTTAGGTGGTGATGGAGAAAGACGATCTGTAGATGAATTGTAGCTATCTCGGAAGCCCTTGGCGAAAGGATTGTGGTCGATTTTCAGCTGAGTAATCTGAAAGTAGGAAAATAAATGTTATAGTGATATACTCAAATCATGGTAGATAATAACAGTTTGATTTATCAAAGGTTGTTCGAGTCTATGACATCTAAACCTGCTTACTCTTTTGGAACACTTGATGCCAATCTACGACTGAGTAAGTGAACCTTGCATCCTTATTGGAGAACCCATATATAATATTTTTTTTTACCATTACAATATACTTTATTCCAACAGTTGCAGGTGCGCTAAATATTCAGGAAAAAGTCCTTAGAAAGAAGCGAGAGCACACCTGGCCACTGGCGTTCCTATGCTTCATTAGGTGGATGGTTTGGTAGAAAGGCTACTGCCCATGGACTCAAGTAAATTATTATACTTACGTCAGTGTTTTGGTAGGCTGTCACGCCAATAAACTGTGTCTCGGTAAAACTGTGAGTGAGAAGCTTCTTTTGCTCACCAGGAGCTCCGACCTCAATCACGTGCAATCTGGGTTGGTATTTGTGCATGGAGTTGAGAACAATCTGAAATGAGAATCGACAACTTGAGTATGGGTTATTTGTTTTGGAGAATATTGATACAATTTACGAGTGAGTCAAGGTGTGGAATGGATACATTTACACCATCTATCTCTGGAGTACAAGACAAAAACCTGTCAAATGAGGTTTTCTAGCCTAATAATGTGTGTCAGGGACACTTAGAGCTTCTTGTTCATCCTTTAAATAAGGTGTCCGATATCAGTGGATCATAGCTATTGTAGAGATATATCATTTGACTTGATTTGATGAATAGCGAAGACGACACTCTTTTGAACCTCGTTGGGCTTCTCAGGCCTGAAGAAATGTGTCCGAGTTGAGGAACAAGAGAAAACCATTAGGTTTTAAACAACAAAGGACACTTACCACTCCGCCATGACCGTCACTATTTTTGTTGTTAGTTAGTTTTAGTTTACTGAAGACGATATCTTGTTTCATCCAATGGCTGCCAGTGTTAGGGGAGTCGGGATGAAGATACACTCGTCCAGCTGAAAAATAAAGAAACAAATGAATAAATGAATGAATGCGTGGATAAATGCATGAATATACCCCCTACCCCTTATCATATCCCGCAAACCCAAGTTCTCCCGATCCAAAAGACAGGACAGGACACAGTATCGATCTGCTGTGGTTATTGATATGAGACCATATTAATTGAGCTGTATTATATAATATTTATACAACATATCACTAATTAACTGTTCATTACAATATCTAATAATAATACAGAATGTAATAATGTCTATCTCTTTATTAACAATTATATTTAAAGACACGCTTCATGCTTGTCAGTGGAAGGAGGAGGTAGTAGGGGGCGCTGGTGTTAGTCGTGATCTTGTTTATGTTGCTATATCTGTCCTATTATTATAACGTCTTCCCTAGGATCAATTATTTCTATAGACACACTCCATACTCGCTGGTGGTAGAGGAGGGGGGGGGGGGGTGTCCTTTTCAGTGACTTTGTCTGTCCTCGTCTTTCCCTATTAAAAATTATATCTAAGGACAAGCTTCGAGCCAAGTTTTGCCCACATTGCAGCTTTCAGATCAAGTTAAATGCTATTATTTTCATGCAAACAGATGTGCTTAATGGATGCTAATTTTTACCATTACGATAGTGCAACAATTGCAGGTGCGTTGAATTTGCAGGAAAAAGAAAAAAGAGCACGTTCAACTCGAGAATATACCCGACCAGTATTGGTTGACCTTTAAGCTATATATTACGTGACAGACTTCTTAGCACTTCATTATTTTGTTACCAAACTCGGTTGATAATGAGCTATATTATCGGGTACTTGGAAAAGAAAGTAGCTACGTTTATGAAACTTACGAAAACATCCCATATGGCATCAATGAACAACTAAACTGAGCTCATGGGTTCATTTCAAAAGAAAACCGAAAGTAGCTATACCAGCATGTGACGTCAATGACTTGATTATGTTTTAAATTTTCTCAATTTTGAACTCGCCCTATTTATGTATACAACAAAAAATACTATACACAGGGATAATCTAGACAACTATACTATTGGATGAGGGTCCATGGTTAACGTATAGGTCGTTAGCTGATATCAAATAGTTGTAGCACGACCATCGATAGAGCCTAGACGAGGTGATCAATGTTTTCAAGATGAAGGAAAGCCGGTGACAATCACAATCTTGGATGTCAGGTGCTCAAACCTAAAGAACAAAAAGACACGACAAGGGGCTTGCACATTTCAGCTGATCCAATTAGAAACAGTACGGTGACCGGGTTGGGGTCAATACAATGTCTAAGACGTCATTAATCCAGAATTACAATTGAATCGGTCAACATGCATAAACCTGTTAACCTCCTGATTGAAATTAGCTAAAAATGGCCAAACAACTCAGCAGTGACCTAACCAGTCTATTGTGTGACGTGTGTTGGCATGGGGATGGACAGAAAGGAAAAAACAGCTGGTTACTTTACGTCACACTGGGCCATTTTCCTTCAAACTGAAAATATCCTGAAAGTCGTGATAAACAATCCAACCAAACTGTGAACCATGTCGCATCCTGAACGTTTCTGGGTGACATTCGGAATTTTGTCAAGAGCAACGTTAATAGCAATTAGCGAGTTGTTCGATATTTTTAGATGTAAGAAGAAAAACTGATGCAGGTTTTGTTTTGTGTGAAGTCTTGAACTAAATGGTCAAGGTTATTCGGTCTCTCATTTTCAATCGACAATTTTTTTCTTTGTCTGGGATAAGCCTAATACTATTGTAATAATAACTATATCAAATAAACAATATAAGCTATGTGGACTCTCTGAAAACCTACCGAGTTGAAAAACCCAGTGGCTGAGTTGTATCAGTTGTTCCGAAAGAATGAGAATATCCTGTTTTTTTATTTGCAAAAAAACATGGTTTTAGCTATATGAAGTCTACAAAATTTCCTCAATGCACACTGTATCGTGTCGCTCGTCTTCAAAGGAATATTCAAAAGCCGAAAGGTACAAGGAACTATCATTTCATTTCTCAAAAGGGGAAATTCCACTCAGATGTGGATAAATCTGACTCCTTTGTTTGCGTATGGATTCTTTAAATCAAATGATCAATGTACTTACTTTGAGGAAGTTGTTCAGCGGCCCCACATGGCACCCACCGTCCTGATTGAAATTTCCAATGGTTGGGGTCAGCAAGGATCATGTCTACAAATACATTGTATTGTTTGGTAGGTTCCAGGCCGGTCAGGCTGTACTGTAGGGTTGGAAACATGCGTCTGAAATATAGAAATACCAACAAAATTTAATAGAAATATCACTTGGATTAACTCAAATAGATACTCGATAAGAAAATTGGTGACAAAAATAAGAAAATATATGGAAATTGAAATAAAATTATATTTATATTTATAAAAATATTTATAGAAATCTATGAATTTAATTTCCAATTTTAATTTATAATTTATTCTTTAACATTCTTCATAAAAATATTGTTTAAAAAACAACAAGGACAATATTAATTATTCTAAAACAAACTTTCAAGAATTTATAAATAATAATTTGTTTTATTTCGCTTTTTGCTTGCAAGAAATATTATTTACAAAACATCGATGAAAATATAATTTATTGTAAACAAAATTTTCTAAATATTGTAAATAATTTCAAAAATCATTTCGCCTGTCGCTTGTCAAAAATATTGTTTACAAAACAACGAAGAAAAAATATAATTTATTGTAAACAAAATTTTCTAAATATTGTAAATAATTTCAAAAATCATTTCGCCTGTCGCTTGTCAAAAATATTGTTTACAAAACATCGATGAAAATATAATTCATTGTAAACAAAATTTTCTAAATATTGTAAATAATTTCAAAAATCATTTCGCCTGTCGCTTGAATGAGTATTTGTGCAGGTTGTTTTGAATATAAAATAAAAGATAAAAACGAAGATAATTTGTTTTGTTTGTTAAAATATCAAAATTGCCGAATTTATATCAAATAAATTAGAAAAATATCTCTTTGACAACAACATCACACTCGTTAATATCAATTTTATATTTTAGTATAAATTGAAAAGAAGATAACATACTTATAAAAATATTAATAATTGCCTAAATTAATATCAAACGAAATGGAAATTGTAAATATTTTTAAGAAAACAAGCACTAAGAAAACAGTGTACACCTTCGATGTTTAGCTAAGCAATCTAACCAATTAATTATTAATTAATCAAGGCGTTATATTTTAATTTGACTATCCGCGGTGATATCTGTTATATCTTATATCATTATCATCACATTTTATCTGCCCCATTAACTTCTCACAAAAATAAATAAAATTCTAAGGTATACATATCAAAACAATTAGTTTCGATTTTTGACTGTTCAAATAAATAAATTAGAAATATTTATGTAAATGAAATGAATGGAGTTTTACGTCCTACTTTTAAAGATTTATGTAAACAATTGGTTTCCTAGGTTTTAAGATTGTTTAGAAATTTCAGTAATCAATGAAATCGAAATGTAAACAAAATAATGCGGAAATTGTATTTTTTTTTCTGATTTTATCTGTTCGAATCCACATAAAAGATTTGTTTTAAAAAGTTTAAATTGTATGAGGTTTAAAAAATATAAAATAAAGAAATTTTAAAGTATATCTTCAATTTTTCTTTTAGAATTTTTAATTTAACCTCTTCGATTTCTTTCGATTCATCTTTATCAATTTTTAACCAATATTTTATCAATCCTCTCAAATCGTCCTCCTTTTCCCTCCAAAAAATAGACAGAAATTAACTCACCGTCCTTGTTTCGTAATGATCATTTCACAAGTATGTTGATGAAATTTCACCCATAATTCTCGATTGCATAGATAAACACACACTTTACCAGCACTTCCATGTGTGTCTTGAACTCTCATCCCTTGGGGTGGGGAACATTGGACCGGGGCAGGTTGAGGGGCAGGATAATATGGTAGATGTTCAACAGGGGCTTGATATTCTGGGTAAGATTTTTGGTAGTGGTTTGCAGCATAGTCTGATTTTCTTGCGTTATATTCGTATCCATCTTGTCTGTATGCGTCACCTTGGACGTTCTGCAGGGGTGCGTATTGTGACGTTACGTTTTCTGAAGCTGTACAAATAAAAACAATAAAAATATATTTTAATTCATATAAAACAAAATTATAATCAAATAAATAACTAAAATACGAGACGAGCTCCATCAAGTCACCGCAAATAATAAAAGAGCATTCGAATTAGATGGCATCTTTTGCTCATAAAATTCCCAGGTAAATACTAAGTATACAAGCGATGACATAATGACGGAGTGACAGACGAAGCTCTGAAAGGATGAGCAAGACCTATCTTGGTAGCGACGATGCCATATTCATAATTGCAATGTAGCATCCTACACTCGAATGTTTATTCGCGGATTACCGACAGTTGTTTCGGCATCAGATACAGGAACAACGTCCTTAGTGAAATGACGATTGGGGAAAAGGATGTGACATTAACCTAATTTGGTGCAATAAAAATGATTCAAAAGTCCTAAGACAAGATTAAACAATAACGACAGACAATGCAGACAGTATACAATAGGGGAAATATTTCCAGACGAATAAAAGACTGGTGTTTACTTACCACCATTGGGATGATATCCATCATGCTCCTCGGGAACTTCAGACGCTTCGTGTCGAGGTGGAACTTCTGGACTGATCTGTCCGTAGCCTTGAGTCTGTGCTGTATTCTCTGCTCCATATTCGCAGTAGAAATTCTTGAGTCTGTATTGGGAGTAAGCTGCATCTTCACAGGAGGCCTCGGATGTCGGTCCGTAAGATTCGGCTGCAGTGTTTGCGTCTCGACCGCTATGCTGATACTCGTGATACACGGCTGATGCGTTTGTGGAACTCAACATTTTTCGCGTTGAAACAATCTCAAGCGTGTGATAATTTCCAAAATACAGGTCGCTAAAAAGGTGCAAATATTCGAGCTATTCACAAGTGGTGGCTTGAGAATCGTTAAGTAAAGTTCACGGTCTTTTTAGCGCTTACTGTTCAATTTCTATACCGTATTTAGCGGGTTAATAGCAATCGTAATCTTTGTGAAAATCCCCAGCGAGTTGTTGTAAACACTATTTGGTCCGTTACGATCTTGAGTTGGACTTATTCAAAATTACAAGAGAGAATTGAAATATGAATATGATTCACGGTTTTTGCGTTATATACACATAGATCACCGAGTGGACGGACATCAAAATTATCATGCCAATTAGGAAACGAGCGATCTGATTGGCTAATGGACAGTGGTCAACCAATATTTTCACCTGTGACGTCCAATCAGTGAGTTTGACATAAGTTAATTAGGGAGCTGTGAACAACAATGATTCCTGCGGCAGGCAACTCACGTAATCATCGGAGAACAAACGTAAATCAGCAGAAAATTCAACATGATTAAAATGACAGTTTCTGAACCAGGATCTGTCACAATCGACCTGAATTCCATCAAGGTTTGACAGAGATCATTGCCCAAATAGTAATTGCCAATAAGTTACTTTCTAATAACTAATTTTAACAGGGGCCTGATGACAGTTGGTAAGAGGTTAGACATCCTACCCCTAGAAAATTTAATTGCTGTTAGGGAAAGAGGGAGGGAGAGAGGGTCTGTACCGGGAACAGGGTATGTTAACTTTTGGGAGACATCTGATACCACTATGCTACTGGGACCATCATCTCCGCCACTAAGAGTTCCCACAAGTGATGACAAAGTTATTATTTGATCATCTTCACAAGCCATAAGTCGTCACACCTGGACCATTGAAGATGTTATTTGATTGGCTGTATCCATCATTTCAAATCGAACATTTTGTTCTTGACAATATTGTTAGATTCCTACAAATGTACATCGATTTAAAACATTCCAAAATCGATGCATACTCATGTTTGTTGAAACTACACAATCAGACATTAGAACAAGTGTAATTAAGGGATTAAAAGCTATTTCTTAATAAGTTGAAAAATTAACAATTAAACTGTTTTTTTTTGCAAGTTACACACCCGAGAGGCTGGATATGCTGCATATAGAATGATATTATTTGGTATTTCGTATGAAATTTTACTTCGACTTTATTGGTATAATAATAATGAGAGACTGGATGGTAGGGGCTAGATGTATTGTTAATATTGATACAAAGCTCTCATCTCATTGTTGTATTGTTCATCCAATTGATAAGGAATTGGATCTTCGATTATTCGAACATTAAAGTGGCTTTCCCACTCCAACCAATGATCATAAATAGCAAGAGGCTGATCCCCTGTTCGGATGTGACAATAACCGAAACCCTGTGTACTACAGGCTGTGAAACGTTAAGATCTTTCAACAGAAGGATATCGAAAAAGAGTAGCCTTATGCTACTGTCCTGGCAAAATCTTCACAAGCTCATGAGGAATCAGACGAAGAGAAGACCAACTTAAATCTCCACTCATTTTCCTTCAAGATGGACAAATTCCACGAGGCCAAGGTCACTGCTTTTGAAATTTGGATCCATTCGACTCCTTGAACTGAAATGTGTCCAGTGAAAAAAAGAAAAGAAAAAACCCCAAAATACAAAGTAGGTATACCCACATTGGCCCCGCCAACTAACAAACATTGGCGAAAGTTGAGCAGGTTCCATCAATAATGCACACTTGTGACGTCATGACCATGGAAAACTGCAATAAACACGATGTACTATTAGTGTTAATTCGTTTACACCCACACCTGCGAATTCAAATTTCACCTATGTAAAGTGGACACGTCATTTAAATTGAAATCAATACCAAACCTAGAAAGATTTTGTGTCCACTGCGTCATTCGTGACTTCAAGGAAATGTGGATGATAGTTGTCCTTTGGATTCAATCGTCAGGGGGTAAGGGTTATTATTACTTACTTTTTCTAGTTTCGATAATAGGGAAAAGGAAACGTATTTCCTTTATATAGATTGAGTATATCAATTTGGGATCATTGTGAATATTTTTATAACGCTAAAGAGGTATCTAATTTTTTAAATGTACACTAGTTATTAGCCGCCACTTATACAAAGGCATTCGTGTACACGTTTTACATAGGCATTAGATTATACACCTTCATGTATCTCTTTCTCCAGTGATTTCAGTGGAAGCTGAACAGATCTGTCCGGAGCCCGACCCAGTAATAAATGCCTACAGATACAGCGATGAACAGTTTCTGGAGGCTGGAAGCTGGTTGAATTACACCTGTTATATGAACTATATATTGCTCTCGGGATCACTGACCAGACAATGCCAGTCTGATGGTACCTTCTCAAACAGTCCTCCAGTGTGTATTTGTAAGTTTTGCAATGTACTGAACCGCTGTGACTATTGGACCTTGCTCTATATCTCGGTCCTTGTTTATGACGCCTCGTTCACACTCCTAACTTAAGCATATCTTAATGCCCTGATACCAATGCATGTTATATAAGCGAATGAAGAACTGAAACTTCAACGGTAGTTTGACATATGAAGATCAAGATCAAATATTAGCACGATCAAAAGAGATTTGACAGCCAAAAAAGCTAATTTTTGAAAATGTATAGAGAGCGTGTAAGGTGTTCGCTGGTACTTCAAAGTGTCAGCTGTCAAGGGATCTTTAGATGAATTCAATATTCTAAGAGTTGCTTTATCAGCTGACATTAATATCTGCTCGAACCTTCCGAAAAGTACCAGTGCTTCAACTAATATTTTAATTTATTATATCTTTGACAGATTCATGCGGGTCACCTCCCAATATAACAGATATGCTGATGGAGGTACCAGGTCTTAGCCTGGACGGTTCTATAGCTCGATACACCTGTATCCACGACCCTACAGTTACATTTCAAGCTGTATGTAGACGTGATCTTAACTCATGGTATTACAACTACACCATGTGTCCACGTAAGTTGTTAAGGGGAGCCCTGGGAGGTGAAGGGGAGGGGGGGGGGGGGGTGTCTACCATTGTTCATATTATGAAAAACTCTGCTTTGGGTACGTCAACACGATACATACATGATGGTACACATTCTCAGCAACTCTGAAGACGTTGCAGAATTTTAATGACTCATCTTTATAATGGGATTCGGATTTCGCCTTCGATGATCATCTCTGTATGGTATAGGTCCTACAATTCCCGTTTTTACCTTACAGACCCGGAGAATCTTTTCATGGTGGGAAAACCAGATAGAAATAAAATAGACAAATTTTTCAAAAGAGTAACAGATGGTGACTTAGGTACCTGTGAAAGTAAACCAGACCCTGTCAAGTTTTGGTTCGCGAACAAAAACGTGGATATAATCAGTTTCAACATGACTTTTGGCACCCTGCCTGGTATGTACGTAAACATTTCTCAGGGTCGTAACATACGGAATGTAAGAGGAGCTGACATGGAAAAAGCGTCTAGCGCTACAGGCTGTGCACGTTATAGTCCCCTAGACAGTTGGAAATCGAAAAAGAGCTGGCTAATGCTGCTGTCCTGACAAAATTTATTTCCAGATGTACTGCTCAATGAGATATTGGGCAATGAGACATACAACTTCATTTCATAAAGATTCAGGAGGGTAGGACGTAGATGTAGTCGTATTCACAAACGCAAACCCATCTCTTGTCGATCTCCAAACATTCATTTTTCAGCCGATTTGGAAAAAATAATCCTTCAGGTTGTCAGAAGCAATGATGATGTATACTGGATAAAGAAATCAGACGACACACGTAGAGAAGTCTTTACAGATCTAGAATCCGCGGACACAATTCACATAGAATATTCACAAGGTGAACAGGGCTCCTACGGTAGAAACATCAACGTAAAAGGTGTTTTGACAGACGGTACAATGGCTAATCTGTCTATTTGTGAAATAAATGTCACAGGAAATTACCGCAATGGTAAGTTGAAGCTACTGTATTGCCCGCTACGGGGGTGTCACGCGGGGCTAGAGACGTTGCCTTGGCTGATAGAAATCGGGGAGTGAAGGGTGTGAGGGGCTGGCCAATTTACGGAATCCTGTTGGTTAGCAGAAATTAGGAAAAATTATTTACCTTGACTGACAAGTTGAAGGCGATTAAGAGTTATTGTCCTTGACTAACTAAAACAATAAATCGAGGACATCTATTCAATATCTTACAGCATAAATTTTCGGCGATTGACGTTTGAGTTATCGCCCCTTACAATGAAGCTGCCACTTGTGAACTGCTGCCGTGAGCGTATGTTACCTTGTTGCGCATTATTATCAATTTTCATTTAAAATTCCAAAAGAAAACGAAGTTTTGTTTTAGAAGACAAATAGAAACTTTATATTTTATCTGTGTACTTTATCGAACCTCGATATCGTCGATATTCGATATGACCAAGTCGATGTAAGATATCGACATACAGGCTAAGTCTGAGACAAACATTGACTTTGGATCGATAGATAAGTCATAAGTAGTCATACAAAACCTATACAAGATATTATTACTCTTAATTGCCCAAAGGTGACTCGGTAAGCGTAAGACCAATACGGTGTATCCTTAAACCACTGGAGATGAGGGAATGGCATTTGTATTTAATCAGGTAAAATTGAAGAGGTTGCATTTAAGGGTGATATCAACAGATTTTGCAGTCTTTAACTTCTAACCCATACATAAAACCTTGTAGTCAATTCTTGCTAAATTTACCTATACCAGCTATCCGCTGTCCTGGCAAAATTTCCCTCATTGCACCCTGCATGGCGTTGTCCGTCTTCATTAGCCCACATGGTGCACAAGAGTAGGACGTAAAACTCCATTGATTTCATTTCCAGGAAGATGCAATGGACCCCTAGATTTTAAATATGGCACCGAAGCCTACTTCGACTCTGAAGAACTTCGAGTAAAATGCTTACCGGGTTTTTACCATCATAAAGGAGTTGATTTCGTAAAATGTGACGACGATACACTCAATTGGCATACAACCTACATCGTATGTGCTCCAGGTAACAATATACATATATATATAACAATGAGGATTATATTTAGCAATGTGGACTCTCTAAAACCGACACAGTGTTGTCGTATACCAAAGAAGCCTTAGTGTGTTCAGGTACCAAGGTAGATTTAGTGTGTTCTCAAGAAAGTGATACAGAGTTGACAATTCTCTTATACAAAAGTATTCTAAATGTCAAGTTAGTGGAAGAGATGGCAAATAGACACGACCGGACATTACATTAGCATTATTTAGCTTCGAGGACTCTCCCAAAAGAATGCAAAGCTGACACTCCCAAGATTACTCAAAGCAACATCAAAGCAGACTGCGCTGTGCCTCATACGAAAGTTTTGCCACTCTGTAGGGATGCCCAGTACTCATAAGCTCGATTGGATGCAGAAGAGTAGGGCGGAAAACTCCAATCATTTGAAAGGGTGCACTTTGGCAAGTAAGGATGCACTGTCCGTGTATTTTTCTTTTACAGAGGAAGCGTTGATACGAACAGAAGCAAGCAATCCAGATCAGAAGGCCCTGTTTGATTTACAAGACGATACCTGCTATACACTCTCTGAAGGAACAGACAGAATACTTGGAGTCAGCCCCAGTCCGGGAAACAACATGGTCATTACAGCTATTTCATTCAAGTTCAAAGGTAAGCCTTAGAACAAACTAAGAACATCAATAGCTTAACTACCATAACAGCTAATCTACCATAACAACAGCCAAACCATCAACACCAGCTAAAACACAACATCAACAACTAAATACTGCACCAACTATAATATCAAGAAAAGCAAAACATCTGACCAGGGCAAAATTCTCAGTAGACACTGAACGGTTGCGGCACCAGCAAACAAATCATCATCAACAGTTAAAGACCAACAATCATTTACCTGCGCTAACTGAAAATAAATTCTACATTGTCTGTTTGTAGAGGTAGAGCAGCGTAGAGCCTTCGTAAACCCTGTCTTTAAAATGGATGGCGTAATGGTCAATCCGAACTGCGTGCAAAGGACACAGAAGACTCTTACCATAACCTGTACGTTCAACCCAGCTGGCAAAGGAGAAGAGATCGAAATTGTCCACAACTCATCTTCTACGATATCCCTGTGTGAAATACATGTCATAGGACACATCAACGGTAAGCTCTGGTTAGAAGAGAATCCTTAGATCTATCATGAGGTTAAGTAGATCTGGATTTCGTTGATTGCGTCTTCTCATGATGAACAATATTGCTTCCGTGTGTATTAGCCCCAAAGACTCAAAGAATTTGAGTCCCATTTTACCATCTTTATTAAGATCGTTTAGAGAATACATGTCCCGATTCCAAACTATGAGAATCCATTCCACAACGCTTCTCCACTCTGGAAAGTTCATATGGCCAATAAACTTTTGTAAATGTCACTGCCGTACGTGCATCAGCTCTTTTTAATATTTCAGCATACGAGTGTTTCCCACAGCATCCTTACTTATACCAGGGAAAGATGAACCATACCATATTTGGACATGCCTGTGAGAGGTGGGACGGCGTACCAGCCAGCCATCCAATGACATTTGATTTTTTTCCTGATTCTTCACGGACTCAGGCTGAAAATTACTGTCGGGATCCAAATAAAAATCAGTTCCGTCCTTGGTGCTTCATCAAAAACTACACTGAAGAACAGCTCTGTCCAGTTGTAAAATGTGGTAAGTGAGGTTGATTCTTCGGAGTATCTCAATGGACAAAGAACTCCAATATTCAGAATCTTTCTTGGAAGCTTTCAGGGGCACCTTCTCAAAGGACAGACCAATTCCATAGAACAGTGTAGATAGATACCAGTTTAAAAGACCACCCCCCCCTTGATTATTACCGTTAAGCAGACCAGTTACACCCGGATAGGTCAAATAGGCCAATTCAGGTGTCCCTGCCCTGGACAACAATCACTAATAATGGTTCTTGTTTTTGTAGAAGACAACTGTTCCAAACAAAAAGACGGAAAGGATTACGGAGGTCAACTGAATGTTACGATCATGGGTACAGATTGCGTTGCCTGGAGCAGCATTGACAGCAACAGTAGTGTCCAAAACCTTAAGAGCTTTACAAACTACTGCAGGAATCCTGGGAATGGGTACTCATCCCCTTGGTGCTTTACAGGCTTGGACGGAACTTTTGAACGGTGTAACAACATTCAGTGTCGTAAGTATTAAAATGATGATTTCCTAATTTAAATAAGTCATCTTTCTTCATTATTCCGGTCCAGACAGCTGTATATTGGTACGGATTTTCTAGGGAAGATTAATGCCAAGAAGTTTGGGGACAAGAACTAGCTGGTAGAAAGATCCCTTTGAACCCCAGTTGGTCTCCTTCTAAAATTAATCCCATGAGGTTTGTCCAAGGACCAGCTGGTAGACAGGATCAAGCTATCCTTGTAAAAATGGTCTTTCTTTCTTTCTTCCTCTGTCACTTGATCACAGTTAGGAAGGATGTTCCACCATCGGTAGCTTAAGGACTGGAACACCAGATTCGACTCTGTGATTGAGATTGCCAACCCCATTTACTCTACAGAGTTCACAATGTATGTACATGTGTAATGAACTGGATGTGTATTCGTTTTCAGCGAAAGAGTTCAAATACGTCCACTACAACCAACCGGAAGATTTCACCGGTCACCTTTGGTTCCCAGAATGTTATTGGTTTGGAACAGATCGTTTAAGACTTTTTGGAGTTAATGTTACTGACGACTGGTTGCAAGACTGGAACATACAGAATAATTCACGTCTTTATTGCTTCGGATCAGATGATCTAACTTTGACGGAGCTTCATATTGAAAGCTACGGTGAGTGCGTTTTTCTGGCACAATAGAGTTAGCATCACAGGTTCTCCAGGCCTTCCTAATCCTTTCGTGACGAAGCAGCTCGCTTTTTGATCATGCTATTATTGCCCTTTATCGGAGGGCTTATCTCTATGACAAATTGTACTGATGAAGACTTTGAAACCAAAACACATTCCAGCAGCATTGGGTGGCCACTTAGATCGTTCTACCTCCTGTTGTGTGCGTTCTCAATTTAAAATTTTCAACTCCAGATTTACCTACGACCACCATTACAACAGAACCAACGACTGTGTCCACAACAACTTCCACTACGTCTACAACAACCATAGAGGTCCTGACTACAACGACAGCTACAATTTTAACAGATACATCAACCGCATCCACCCTCACAGTGGTTACAACTTCAACCGCAACAGACGCAAAGATCTCATCCTTAGTACCAGCGACCACGACCACCACTAGCACAAAACCAACCACTTCCACTGGTCATATCTTCAGCGGAAGTACCACCCGAAGGACAATAATTTCAGAAACCCAATGCTTTTGTAAATGCAACATGGAACCATCTTTGTTGACGGATGAAATCGCCGAGGAGAGGATCGCCCAAATCAACAAAGAACTTTACATCGAGAAGCAGAAACTGACGTCATCGATACGAAAACTGACGTCAGCTCATGACGAAAGACCGTCTGCTACGTATCTCGGTTCGTCTGCTATAGCTATTTTTAGCTGTGTGATGCTGTTGGTCGTTCTACCCGATTTATTCAAAATAATCTACTATTTTTACACTATTTTTAGAAATAGAATTAATGGGACCAGTGGCAAGTTGGTCCGACTGTAAAATTTCTAGAATTTTGTAAAGTTTTTATATTATGATAAGATATTCTATTGATGGATAACCATTGTGAGTTATAAATAATAAAAGCTTATGTTACACCAACACCAACGGCTTAAGATATCACTTCTGGGAACATGGGTCTAGTAGTAAGAAAATAAGCGCCTTACAACTTAGCACAACCGTATGGGCAAGTGTGACCCCATTGTCCTGTTTTAAACAACACAATATTTTATTACATAATTTATTAATCCCAATTTCATTCACGTGATTTAACAAAAGTGACAATATCTCACAGATTGCTTCTGATATCTTGTACAGACCCTCCAGAAGGTGTCCGACTAATTTCTACTGAAGATACATTTAGTTCTGGAAGAACTGTTGCAAGGTTCAGAGAGGCATTACGTGAGATATTGCCCCCTATAACAAGATAACAAACGATAAAATACTAAGTTACCAGTTAGATTAGGAATATTAAATACAAATATCTATATAGTTATCATTATTATCTATGTGGACTCTCTGAAAGGAATGCCAAGTTGACAAACCCAAATATGAAACAAACATTATTAGCTTTGTGGACTCTCTGAAAGGAATGCCAAGTTAACACACCCAAATATGAAACAAACATTATTAGCTATGTGGACTCTATGAAAGGAATGCCTAGAAGACAAACCAAATTACCAAAACACATTATTTGCAATAAAACTGTTTTAGGAATACCAAGTTAACAAACCCAAATATTAGCTATGTGGACTCTCTGAAAGGAATGCCAAGTTGACAAATCCAAATATCAAACAACCAACTTAGCTATGTGGACTCTCTGAAATGCCGAAATCGAAATTAAATATCACAGTCAAGAAACACCTTCAAAAATTAACAAAAGTAAAAAAAAATAAAAGAACACTGCACCTTAAACCAATATCTTCTCACACTTATCAAAAAAACATAACCCAGAAAAATACAAAAGTAAAAAACCCACATTGTCACCCAGATGGGCAACACCTGGTATCTAATTCATACCAAAAACTCATCTGTGTATGGATAGATATGCAATCAGAGTAGGGAGCAATATACTGTAAAGTTGCGAGTATAACGTGCAGATATTAAACTCAGCGATTTTATATTTATAATTATACAATAAGTTAACGAATTAAACACTGTTATTACCATCAATCATCATGGCAATAAAACTTTATCAGCTGGTAAAATAAATAGTAAAGGAAAGATGTGATCATAACTTACTGAAGTGTTTCTGAAGAAGGCAATTAGTCGAAACGTTAACCAATAGGACAGTAGTATATACTTTACATTCTTGATGGCTATAATATATTCCTTTTACCCTGTTCTTCCCTCTAGAATTAAAGCAGTTATTTCCCCTCTCTGAACTCAAACAGAATGACCAAGCAACAAAGTCACCAAGTCCACAATAAAGAAGAGAAAGAACAGACAGATCATTAGTCAAAAACAAAGAAGAGAAACCAGAGACCCATCCACCAAGATGACAAGTCCAGCTTAGTTCAACTCTCTGACAAGGATGCCCTGTTGACAAACTACAAACAGTATTAGAGGATACAGATGTGACAAACTCAAAGTCTAACTAAGAGATGTCAAGAGGAGTATCAGACTGACTGAACCACCAATATCAGGAAAACTCCAGGCACCATGACAGCTCCAAGATCTTCTATAAGAGAGGGAATCCCTTACTAAGAATTTTGTATTTGACAATATTAAACATTGCAATGAAACCGTTTCTAAACTCTGGACTGACATGAAAATCATACTGCGGAGCTGTTACACTCCCCGAGACCGATGTCCCGTCTGATTGGCTGTCATTGCCACCTCCTTCCTCATTGGTTGATGGTCCAAACGTAGGGGCGGAGTCAACGAAAGCTGCCACACGATCACTATTGGAGTTGTCATGCTGAAAATGACAAATTAAAAATTTATAATGATATAGGAATTTTACTATCATTTGAAGAAGGCTCACACTGTGTAGTGTTCAATGAGGAAAATTCTGGGATGATAGACGAATTAGCATGTAATCTGTCAATAAATCTTGAAATGTCAATGAAAGTACTTCTGCTAAAAACTGCAGTGCAACGCTTCCGCTGTTATCTTACTGTTAAGATTTAGTGTACTATCCATGTCAGTCAGACAGCCAATTCAAATTTTGGTTCCTTTCAAGCAAAAGTAAGAATAAAATGGTCGAAAATAAAAAGAAAACGCACCTCAGTATGGGCTCGGAATAAATTATCAGTCCAAATCAACGAGATCAGCGAAGGGTCCTCAGATTTCCCAAAACACTCTAACTCCCGTATGGAAAACGCTTGCTGCTGGGCATCCTCCTCGTTGTTCACCACAAACAAAATGTCAGAGGTCAAGATCAACGTGACCATAACCTCTAACCCCACAAGGTCAAGGTGACAAGCATCCACTGATGTAAGAAACTGTGTTGTTGGAAGACTTTGGAATATTTTTCTGGAAAAAAACCTTAAAATTTCAAGCCATTGACCAAATTTGGAACAATTTATAAAAAGTTTTGGTCTATCATGTGTATGTAATATTGCCAATAGAACGTTTGTGAAATTCCAAAGTTTTTCTGACTGTCAATAATGGATGCCAAAAAAAGTTTGCGCAATACTTGCAATTATACTGTAGTCAGACAAGGAGAAAATCAATATAAAACTTACAGGGGATATTTAATAATAGCATTACTAGCAACAGATCGTAGTAGTAACCGTGGTTTTTCTATTCGTTGAGGCAACTGACCCAGTCCAGTACCATGCAAAATTCCTGAAAATAAAATACCAAAATTATAGACCAATTCAATTCACTATAGATGGAAGAACAGAAACAGGATATTGGCCTCTTCTGGTTAAACAACAGTAACATCCAGCCTGCAAAAAGCTCAGATACCTTAAAGTGTTTCTTTATTGAAGAGTTCGCATTTCTAATAATATCATTGTTACACGATTTTATAATTTTACAATTAGAGTAGCCTACCTTGTCCAGTTTGAGATACCAACTCAGCAGCTCCTCCTATTGGCTTGGTTACTATGCCAACTAAACCTTTGCCCATTCCTGTTACCAGGCCACTAGCCATAGCAGACGTTGATGATCGTCGTTCTCCACTATCTTGTGTAGAAATCACATTCTGTAATGGCTGGTCTGCTAGTCCTGCTACAGCACCTGGAAAATGGACGCCAAATTTCAGTTTTGTTTTTTCTTACTTTGCTCGTACTATATTGGAAATTAAACCTCGATTTGTGAAACTAGTTGTCCTGATGATGATTGTATTTCAGAAACACATGTAAGCAGCATGAGATGAGCTTAACACAATTAAGAGGGGTTAAGGCTTGTTAAGAGTCTGCAAAGTAGGCCTGTGACTTCACCAAAACTTTGCCAAAGTCCAAATAAAATTATTTCTGTAGCAAGAACCCCCTCCAAAATTTTCCTATGAATAATAAAATACTGAATCATTACCTAACAAACTAAGACCAAAACCAGTAAATCCTTGTCTCAATCCATCAGACAAGCCGATTGGTCGGTTCCTGCGGTTCTCTTCCTGACGTTCTAAATGTGTGGAGTCCATCGAGAGACGATCCATATTTCTGGACACACTGGAGGCCAGGTTAGTCACGGAGGTTATCATACCTATTATCAATGGAAATAACAATAATTACATACACAGGTGGCACTCAAGTGAGGCTTGAGCCTCTGTTAAAATAATAAAATCCATACCAGTAAACAATTCCACAATTCAATTAACCAAAGATCTTTTCTTAAGAATAGTTCTTGATAAAATCAACAAGCAAAGGAAATTACATATATGTGAAACTGGAAGTAGTGCGTGTTCACATGAGGCTTAAAACTCTTTATGTTAATAATGCTTAGTAGAATATATCAACCAACAAAATGAAGCACGTTGGTTGCAACATGATGTAATATGCTTGATGATCTTGGGTTCTAAACTCGGTCAGCATGTGAAAATCTGGATACAAAAGTACAGATAATCAGTGAAAAGATCAAGGTATCAAGTCGGTTAAAATAAAATCAGTATGTTGTCATACAGAAATAAATTATTACCTGCTGAAACATTTCTAAATAATGATCCCATTCCTCCTGATATACCACTCATGAAGGCACCCGGTCCTCGGGTCAACCCGGAATACGGCATTCGGACTAAATCAGCCATTCCTATACTAAAACTACGTACTAGACCAGTTGGATTACCTAGAATCTCTAATGAACCAATCACAATACCTGAAATATAAAATATTGACCTATAAGAAACATGGTGACTTTAAGATATTCATATGAATACATAAACCAATCAGATCTCTGGAAGTTAATTAGATGCGAGAATCATAGGTTAGAATTTCTTTCAGACTTTTCCCTGCAGTTTGGATGGTTTGGATGATTTTCTTTTCATTGCAATTAACAGAAGTATATATTTTCTCCATTGCCCAAGGACAGAAGAAGTTAAAGAATTACATACCTGCTCTGAAAATAGCTCCTGATGCATAATGCATGACGACAGCTCGTACCAATTGATTACTGATAGTGCATAGATTCCTTCGTTCAAAACAGCTGAATGACAAGGGCGTGTGATCTGCTGCTAAATATAACTTCAAAGACGCATGCACACTTAAAAGTATTTTGATTGGTTGAATAGATAAATGCTGTATTCTAATTGGATTGCTGAGACAGTAAGCCACACTTAAAATATCCTTATTTGGTAATTCACATTCATTGGTCGATTTGATGTCTGCTGATAATGAGGTCGGCAACAGAAGTTCAACCTCTTTTAGCAGTCTATAAATAAACATGTCGTCAATGTAAAGAGAGGCTGGTTTCATGGAAACGTCAAGAGACTCAATCACCGATTGGTCCAAACAATTTGATGACATCACAATTTGAAAATTTAAAAAACTTGAACTTTTGAAAACAGCGTAGCGTTCTATCACAGATAAAGATTCAATATCATCTAAATTTAAATACGGCTCTGTCTTCTGTTGAGGTAATATAATGACTGGAAAATCAAACTGTCCACTACCATAGGCTTGATTATCAAGCTGTAAATTTCCAATACAAATGGAGACACTAGAGGAATGTGATTGAGAGGTTACTGGGTATGTTGCCAGGAAGACACGGTCCATACTAAGTCTTAATACTTCACTAATTGTTTCCATGGAACTCGTTTCATCCAGAATAGCCAATGAAAAATGATCTATGTAACAACCAATGAGAATGTTCGACACATTTTCTTTTAATCTGGCTTTCCTTTTCACCAATGGTTTCAGTTCTACAGTAGTTTGAGTGTGTGACTCCATTTTCTCAATTTCTGTGATTTTAATTTCTTGATTACCCCCCTTCAGTCTACTTCGTATTTCACGAGCTGAAATTTCAGCCTTGCCAACAGGTTCCATGACAACTTCAATGACTCCAGCTTTTCGCTGAACTTCGATTTTCACGTCTGCAACTTGAGGCAATTTGACAAAAGTGTTTCCTGCCATCAAATCTACTCCTAAACTCCACGGAGAATGACCAACGCCAGTCTGGTTAGTTTCTGAGCAGAAGTGTATCTTGGGATACTTCATGCCGTCTGATAATGGGAAGACAGAGTTCAGATGTGGCATTGTATAGTGAGTGTGTCCACCAGGAGGTACTCTGGGTAACTTGTTTAGAAGTTCAGCTTCTTCTTGGATGGTGATATCTGAAATAAAGGAAAGATAACTTGCATTAAGGAATAGAAAGGGAGAATTAATTCGGTGTTTTGAAAAACTATTGAATGGTTTCCATGAATATATTATGAAAATTTACACCAAACTTTACATGTAAGATCCCAAAGAAGCGAATAGTTTTTTTACAACGGGAAATTTGAACTTACCTGAGAGAGTAATATTCATCAAGGTTTGACCATACAGAACTGGAAATGGACAATTATTATACAAGACACAAATAGAGCTATAATCTTCCATCAACGTCAGATACGTCACGCCATTTTTAATCTGGCCACACAAACAATATGGCCGACTGTAATAGTCTTCTCTGTTGGATTGTGGGATGGAAACTGTATGTCGCATTCCATCAGCGTTAGCAGCAACACGAATTGGAATGGACCAAAAATCTGAACTTTGTTGGAGGCCATCTTGATTTTGGTTGCTAGCGTGTCGGCCATCTTTGAATAACAAGTAATGAATGTATTGAGTAAAGTTGTCTGTCTGAGGTCGAAGGTCGTGTGTTGAGTATAAAGACCAGAATAAAAGTGGGTGGAGACTGTTGACTGTGGAATGCTGGGATACTGGAATGGATTCTTGGGATGCACCACTTTCTGGAATGTTCATCTGGAAAAAACAAAAACAGACTTCTAAAATATCAGAAAAACACAGGGACCTTGTTCGAAAAGATTATTTGTAACCAAACAACATCAAAATTCCATCCACATTCAGACCCCTGTTCCTCTACATTGATCAAGTTAACAGAGCCAAAGTCTGTAACCTTCTAATAGCAACAATTGTTTTCAAACCTGCCCACCCCATCCATCATGGCAGCCATATTTTGACAGCTATACCCACCTTAGAAGAACCAAGAGGTAGTGAGATTAACTGAGCTGTAAGTGGAATGTTGGTTTGGTTGAAGAAACAGAAACCTTCTCTGATAGTTATAATTCTCATACCATGACATATTTCTGACTTGAGTGTCAGATACAAAATCTGGAATAAATCAACAATTTCCAATCAAAAATCATCATTAGTAAACTTTTTACCCCTGGCATTCCCTCACCCACCAGAAACAGTTTAAAATACTAAAAGACTAATTTTCAAAATTGTCCACGTCAAGGCCTCTCAGGTACCCAATGAACTTTCCACAAGAACTTTGGGGTGACAACCAAGTTTAGTTACCTAAAGTTTTGCCGTAACAACTGATCAAGTATAAGTTCAGCCATTTGTTTCATCTACAATCTAAAACAACACGCCAACATATTGACAAGAGCCAGACCTCGACTTTTCCTTCTAAAAGGAGCCATATTAATCTACCAATCAATCAATCACAGCCTATATTAATGGCACTGTACAATGCTTAAGATGTAACTTTATTTTATCAAGATACTAACCTGATTATTTTTACCAGGTATCACTATGGTAACCTGTACTAGACCATCTATAAATAGAACACGACCGATATCGGTGCTGTAAAGTTTTGATGATACTTCATCATTAGATAGTGGAATAGCTGCCGATTTTAATATCACTCCCTCCTTCATATATCCTACTTCAAAATCTGATGTCTGAAAAATATTGGCAAAAGAGAGTATTACAGAATCATAGCTTGACTTGAATAGAAGATGAAACAAATTCCAGGATTGTAAATTCTGATGTATTTGCCAGTCAAGTTTCTAACCTATCTCTGCGTGTTTTATGACGTTAATGGCACTTAATTGCAGACAATAGTAAAATCAGAAAGAAACAAGTTGAAATTGATGAGAATTCCGTTACAGAATGGAACATGCCTTCCACACTCACCTTTAAATGTGGTAGAGTAAAAGTCTTGCCGTTACCCAGACACCAATTCTGTTGGTTGGCAACGATCATCAACTCAACACCCGATAAGTTGGTAACCAATGACTCGGGTGTGATATCAACCAATAGAGTATTACAACCGGGTAGATATTCTGACAGCCGGACACTCAGTTCAACCGACGGTTGAGGAATATCATGATAGTCTGAGGGGCAGGATGATGTTATATGTGGTGAAGACGCATCACTAAAACAGCGAGAAAAAATATTTATAAGCAAAAACAAAAAAAATGATGGATTTGGTTAAATATCTTGACATTTATTTTACAGAGAAAACAATTTAGAATCTCAAGGGACTTGTGTTGCCTGTCTACGAAATTATACAGGGGAAAAAGGGGAAACACATTATACATGCTTGTGCATAATATTTGTAATTAAAATCTTAGACTAGGGGCTCAGTTCACAAAGTTTCAGCAAGTTAAAACCTACCTAGATGAGATATGGACACCACAATATGGCCAGGTAGTAGAAAGATCTGTAGTAAAATTCTCACAGATAGAGTCAATATCTATCTTTTGTATCTTATCATGTTCTACCTGGTCTATCAGTCCTGTTGATAACATCAATGGTGGATTCGATTTCTCCATCTCTTGTCTGAAATTACAAAAAACAGGATTAAATTCAGACAAGTAATCTATAACAATAATACACTCCTTCATATTACATGATCCTGTCTTACAATCAGCCCATGGGGACTAACATAGACTCTTTATTTTACATGGGTCAGAATAAGTTCCTATAGACCAAGGTGACATAAAGCTCATGGAGACAAACATAGACTCTTTATTGTACATAGGCTAGAATTAGATCCAATACACCAAGGTGAAATGGTCCTGTCTAACATTCAACCCATGGAGACAAACACAGGTACAATATAAATACTTACCCAAGCCTAAAAGCCAGTGAATGAGTAATATCACCCCCTACACAGTGTAGTTGGTACTCCCTAGCTTGTCCTGGAATCTCTAGTTGCTGTTTCTCATTTAATTTAGGTGAGTCCATTTCCACAAATAGAGGGCGTGGTAAATGGGTTCGTAGAACGTATAATGGACTGAACATTACCTATAATAACAACAAAAACTATTTTGTTATTGGAGAGATTTAGGCTACAGTATAATCGTGAGCATTTAATATACCCAAGCATGTACAATGCTATCTTGATCTAATACCTTGACTGCAATAGCCACCTAAATTACAGAATACAGTTTGACATTGTGAAGATGCGTGTTCCTTCTTATAGCCTAGTTTATCTGGAAAAATCTCTTGTCACTGTAAATAATGCGCCACCATCCTGATGAAAAATTCAACAGCAGATGCTGTTTCGTTTAATCATTTTCCTTATTCTTAAAAATATCTCCCCATTTATATAAACAAATAAATAAAAAAGATATTGGCTTTGAAAATAAACAAATGAAATAAAAAATAAAATATAAATAAATAAAAAACCCCTGTGTACAAATAAAAAAAAAGAAAATATGTTGTGGATAGGGTAAGGATAAAATTAGTGATGGAATAAGCAGGGAATCTATTTCAAAACAACATTTAAAATCTACTTTCCTCAACCAATAGAGTATTTATAATTAATTCAGATTTTGAGCTTTGGATAATTAAAAAGAAAAAGAATGAAATATTGCCACAAAGTTAATAGACGGCTTGTGTTGATGTTTTTGAATAATAGCTGTGTATATACAGATAGCTTTATATTGAGGTAGAATATATAGTAATTGAAAATATACAAGTCAGATTTATATTGTGTTGATTATTACTTAAACTACCTACAAATAAAATCGGACTGCTTGTGTTTATATTTGAAATCATAGCCGTATGTATACAGATAGCTTGCTTCATTTAAAACATGACGAGTTATCAATTCATTTCAGTATTAAGTAAACCAAAAAGCGTGAGAGGCTAGAAACTATTACATCAGGTGTAAATTCCCTTATAAATAAAAGAATAAAGCAATGCTACACTTCAAAATTCAATAATACCCATCTATTTCTACTTACAAGCCAACATGTTGCTGTGTTGATCTTACAAGGCTTGCAGACAAAAAATACACACAAATATTACATTATTTCAATTTTACGCCCTTTTACCACTCGTTCAAATTGAAATGAAAAAGTATAACGCAGTTTTGAATAACCCTATAATTGTTAACATAATGCCCATCCCTTCTTTCTCTCAAGTAAATTAGCACAAATTGCTTCCACTGTGAAAATCATTCAACTGTTGAACGAAAAGCAAGAAGTTGGCATAACACAGACACCATAATATCAAGCGGTAATATCAAGAAAGCCTCACTTTGAAAACCATGCAGACAGATAGTATACGTCTACATGCAACGGAAAACATACAATAAAAATATTTACTAAATTTTCATAAGATAGCTCAGTTCTTAGCATGTTGGATTGGCCTCTACTAGGATATTAGGTGCCGTGGGTTCGAATGCTCTTCAAGGTATTACAAAATTCTGATGCCTGTGCCAGTACCTCTGAGAGTCGACCCAGTGTTGGCTTTTCACCTCTAATAGTAATATCTGGGATTTTATAGCAAATGAAACAACACCTTACTGGGCTAACATAAAAACAAGGCAATATCATGCAGTAAGCAATGAGAGACATCATGTCAAGCCATCAACATTAACTTATTATGATATTTAATTGTAGACTCACCAGGTTCTGTCGTTTATTGTTAGTGTAATGCTGAGTAAAGATATGACACCATAAATGGATATACGCTTTGTTGGCAAGAGGTATCTGAAAAAATATGACAATAACAAAAATAAAATTTGCAGGATTAAAGAGTTCCAGGATTAGACTGCCATACACAAATTTCTTTATAAATTTCTGCCAAAACGGAATTGTGACCCTTGACCTTACGAACTTTAAAAGTCTGTTTACCTTGACTAATCTACTAGATTTCATCTTTTCACCACTAATATGAATTTCTTGTGACCATGGTGATTTTAAACCAGGCAGACGTAACTTGATGTCTCTGATATATTCGTGTTCCACTATAACTGACGGCATTGTCTGACATGATGGAATGATGGACGTCGCCTCGGCAACACTGTTGTCACGATTCAATGTAGCCAGTTTGATCTCTATATTTTGAGACAGTCTGTTACTCATCACCAGCTGTCCACAGAAAATTATCTGAAAGCATCAAAAATCATGTGGTCATATACTGTATAATTCCTAATACTACGCGCACCTATTAAGCCACAGTTGACTATGACATTGAAAAAGAAAACAGCAAAAATCATGTGATTATATACTGTATATTTCCAGATACTATGCTCTCTGGGGTACTGTAGAAAATTGTCATTTGATCATAAACTGTATATTTCTTATAACTAGGCTATAACTACAGCTTTGAATGATGATCCAAAAACTTCCAAAAGATTTGCACAATGACAGCCAAATACTGGTAACGAAAACCACTATACCTGTTTTTGAATGTTGGAGATTTGTTTAATTTTAATAATTATAGTAAAATTTTGATCTTTACTGTGTACAGCTCGTATAATATTACCAGGGGAGGTAATATTGAACGGGTCACACCATTTCCACGTCGTATGATCAACACACAAATGTAAAATCTGGAAAAAAAAGGTTTTAGTCTTCTTTTACGATAACACCATGCAAAAACTTCCAACATGATTACTGGCTGTCTTACATTCATTAGCTTCTACCAATGTTTCGCCAATATGTTGTTTAGGATTTTGGGTTTCGTTTTGCAGTTCCGATCGTTAGTACACAGTTTATCTATTCATATAGAAGCAGCCATTTTGTAAATTTATGAGGTCACGTTGGTGTAACTTGACTACAGTGAGAGACTAATAACACAATCGTTACCTGTTTCATCTTGTGTGATCTCCAGCCATATTGCTGCATCTCTCTAGGTTGGAGGATGAGATTCTCGTCTGTACCAACTTGTCCAAATCGTAAAGCTTGTTGAGTGTTATTACAGATTATATAGTGACTATAAACAGGGCATGTCACTTTCTCTTCTTTACTCAGTACCTGGTGAACAAATATAGTTCCAATAAACAAGAAATTAACGCTAGCTGGTCCTTGATCAAACTTATTGGTATAGATCTTACATGTAAATAAGGTCCTAAAAAATCCAGTCCACTAGCTAATCTTTGGCAAACCTTTTGGCATTGATCTTCCAAGCGAAATAGTTCCTCGACCATCGTTTCACTAGCTGGTTTTTGTCAAACCTCTTACAGCTGGGTTGAATTGCAAGAACCTCAGACAAATATATGTTCCTGATACACATAAAAAGTTTAGAAAACCTGTTTACAATTTCTTGAACAGTTTTTAGATTGGTATTAGATTAATGGAAGAAGTGTACATACTGAAAGCCAGGACTGGACTCCCATATTGATGGTATGAATAGCTCCTTTACCCAGCCGAACTTTCATCTTTTCACCTTTAATATTCATGGTATATACAGCAGGCTGGAAAACAAAGTTACAAATTATTTTTTCATGGTGCTTGCCAGGTTAACCTAAAGATACTTGCTGGTTCATTTGAATCTTTTACCACTAGGGGGTAACCTTGGTCTAAAAAGCTTATCATCTTTGCCTTACGTTTTCATTATTGAATGAACTATTCATAAAGAAACTACTTTTCGATGGGTTTCCTCGGGAACACCTTAAGGTTCTCGCTGGTCTTAGGGGTGCCTTTAATCCCAGGAGGAGAACCAAGACCTTTAAAATTAGCATAAATACAATACCTTTTCATTATAGAGTAGATCAAGATCAGTTTGAAGATAAAATGGTTGTAGAATAGTAGACATAGTCAGGTTTTCATTGTCTAAAATATCAGCTGATATAGTACTTATTACCTATAATATATAGACAGAATATCAATTATATTTTAAATCAGTATCCATAGAAACCATTTCTCAATATTTTCCTTAGAGAATCATGGCTAGAAACTTAGGATTTTGAAGATGCCTTCTTAAGGTTAGTCCAGACTCAAACATCTGCATCAAATAAAATAATGAGGTAGAATTTAAAACTTATGAACGCCAAGGATGAAGCAGATTTTAGAAAAATCAATCACAACTGAACATAGACCGTTACCTGGATTGATGAGGAACGTCTCCTTCCTTCAATATGATTGGCTGTAACAGATAGATTGTCCAATCGGAGTACTGCGATTTCTTGTTGTATAATGTCTTCTGATGTAAAGTAAAATGGATTCAGCTTGGATGGAACGTCTAGAAAATTTAAAAAACAGGGCAAAGATGGACAATGTCTTGTAGAGTGCACTCTGCAAAATTTTGGATAACAACTTAAGTTCACGAGGATCCTTTCTACCAGGTTGTCCTTGGCCAAACCTCTTGACATTGAACTTTCCTGGACTATCCATACCCATTTACAGGTGGGTATTCCTAAAGATTGACAATGCCATGCAGTGTGCAATGAAGGAAAGTTAGACTACAAACCTCTGTGAGTATCTTGTAAGTGGTTTAAAAGTTGAAGTTCCAGGGAAGATATTCCCAGACACATCTGGAAAAACGGGATCAAACCAGGAATAAAACAGGAGTCTAATTTCATACATGCTACGAGCGAGGACGGCTGGATGACTGGCTCTTTAGAATCACTGCAATATACAAAGTAAATAGCTTTACATCCTACTGTTCTAATAGACCTATATTCAATGGATCATATTCTAAATACAGAGGACCCTGTTTAACTGATTGCTGATAATCCAGAAACCTGATTTCAAGATGCCTGAGGAAGTTTGGAAAACAAAGCGCCGATATTTACCTGTTTCCAAGTGGTGATATTAAAATTCTCCACATCTGAGACGTGATGAGATCTGAACTGTTAGAAGCAATGACTTGTGGGAGATCCAAGATGGAGGAGTCGGTCTCCGACAGTCGAAAATGAATATAATCTAAAAATTGTCGGGTTGCCGTGTCCCAATATTGTAATACACACTCAATCTGAAAATATAAATAATCAAGGGCATTAACTCTTGCTGCAACCAGAAATTTTGCTATTCAAAACATGATCCATATGTGACAAAAGAATTGAAATATAATAAAATTTTTGACGTGTCCATCTTGGTGATTTTTTTTATATCCACGCAATATGTTAAATTTGTTAACAAACCTGTAGTGTTGACCCATCCTCAAGGTTAAATGGTAAAGGTGAAAGTTCAGCGTGTCGTAGAACACGTGATTGATGATAACACCATGTCATACTACTAGAGCCATCTGCCAGATTACGTGCAAATATTATCTCCCTTGGATTGGGCTGGATTTCACAGTTATCTTAAAATAGAAACCAATTAAAGTTTATATTAAGTTGGATTAGGAAATTAAGAATGACGTCATAAAAAAGATTAGTGGAATGGTAAGAACCACAGACGTCTGATAGAAAATTGGAATGATGTAAATTGATGATATCAGTGTCCCTGATACACATACAATGTTTAGAAAATCTCTTTAAAATCTATTTAATTACCTGGACCAAATATATATTCCAATCCACCAGATTTAAAATCATCTTCACTCGCATCACAGATAAAATTATCTTCTGCTACCTCACTCTTTTTACCTTCATTACTCAACTCTCCTTTATTCTCATAGTTATCTCCCTTTGAAAATGTAAAGTTAAGAATGACAGTTTGAATGAATATACGCATATATGCAAGTATTTCACTTTTCACGGACCAATAAGTTTTGTGCCCAAAGGGAACATTCAAAATCAAAAATAGCTAATTAACTTGAGGTTTACTTACTTTGAAAAACTTCTCCAAATCTTTAACAATTGCCTCAAAACACTGAAAATGTTCCTGTCCAAATTTGACGGGTATCAAACCAGTTTCCATAGCAACAAGAGTTTTAGGAATGCCTTTAGGACCACTGTGTTCCGTCCAATGGAATATTGTTTCCAAGTTAAACGACGTAGGTCCAATAAAGGGCAAGATATTAGACTGATAGTTACTGGTAATAAAAATATCTTTCACATGGAACCTTCCAGTTATTGTTTCAATTACCCCTGAAATATATAAGAAAACGTGAAGCCATGAGGTGGGCAATGAGAGAAATTCATTAATGATTTGTAGTGATTATTTCAAAGGGACAGAAGGACTGTATGTCTTACTTGAGCTGATTCAAGCTGCTTCCACTCTTCACAATGTCAAGGTATTACAACTTCTGTATAATTAGATTAAAATGGATTTCGGTGAAGGGACGGCAATGTAAATTGTTGAAACGTTGTGTATAATAAACCCAGGAGAAGTATACCATATAAACTGATGATAACAATGTAAATTGTTGAAACGTTTTGTACAATAAAACCCAGTAATAGTATATATATTGTTCAATCAATAAGATGGTTGTTTTCCTACCTGTAGCATTATGGGTAAATTCTGTATCCACTCTAAAACAGGAAGTTGACATCATACAGCTAGCAGAACCATTGTTGGGTATGGTTTCCATAGAAACAACAACTTGTTCCGTCACTACCTCAATGTGATCTATCTTAGATAAAAACCCTGAAGTATAAAATAAAAAATGATCTTTAAAGACTGAGTCCTGATCCTGGGATTGTCCAGGTTGTCCAATTAGAATTCTTATTATGTAAACAACAAAAATATGTTCCAAAAACAGCAGACTTGAAGCAAAGTCATCTGCAGAAGTAACCATAATTCTTAATTCAAACACATCTTCACAATTTTCAAATCTATTTGAGCTGCTATATTGATAAAATTACTCAAAAGATACCAAAAACATTCATTTCATTTCTGAAAGTCTAAGAAGATTCTAAAAATATACCTGGTGTTGATTTCACATCAGTTGTAGATTGTGGTGCTGGCTCTTGTTGCTGGGCAGCCATTTTGTTTCCAGGTGGCACTATTTCATTAATAAAATCTTGCACTTGTGTTATTTTGTAAAGATCTATGTTTCCTTTAACTGGTCTCTCAAACTTTAATACTATACAGGCTGTAAAAGAAAGAAACCAAATGGAATTGACGAATCAAAGGAATGCAGTGGTCCTCAAAGATCTTTTCAAAGCTTGTTAGCAAATACTAACGATCCAAACCGCAAAACAAACCTGAAACCCAAGAAACCAATGGCCCTTATTCAAACCTGAAACATTTGAAAACAAAAATGGAAGAGTTAGTCAGTACAGAGGCTAATACTTTACCTGGTTCATTTAAGAAATCTTTTATCTGAACTGTAAAAAGACTTGGTGGTATTCCTGTTTTGATATTTGGTTGTCCAGCCCTTGTTTCTACCCAATATAAGTTAAAATCGGAACAGTCTGGTATGATCTGACTTTCACTCACTGAAATATATATCGAATATTACTAGTTTTACTTCTTAGTTTTCCTAATCTTAATGGGCTAATGAAGACAACTGACTCTCATGATTATGCCGATGAAATCAATGGAGAATATATTACTTTTTTAAATGCCTTTCAAAATTGACAATGCTGTATGCAATGAGGGAAATTTCCTATGCTAGTCTTAGTTTTCCTCATCTTAATGGGCTAATGAAGACAACTGACTCTCATGATTATGCCGATGAAATCAATGGAGAATATATTACTTTTTTAAATGCCTTTCAAAATTGACAATGCTGTATGCAATGAGGGAAATTTCCTATGCTAGTCTTAGTTTTCCTCATCTTAATGGGCTAATGAAGACAACTGACTCTCATGATTATGCCGATGAAATCAATGGAGAATATATTACTTTTTTAAATGCCTTTCAAAATTGACAATGCTGTATGCAATGAGGGAAATTTCCTATGCTAGTCTTAGTTTTCCTCATCTTAATGGGCTAATGAAGACAACTGACTCTCATGATTATGCCGATGAAATCAATGGAGAATATATTACTTTTTTAAATGCCTTTCAAAATTGACAATGCTGTATGCAATGAGGGAAATTTCCTATGCTAGTCTTAGTTTTCCTCATCTTAATGGGCTAATGAAGACAACTGACTCTCATGATAATGCCAATGAAATCAATTCAGAGTTTTACATCCTACTTTATTAATGCCTTTTGAGATTGAAATGAATAACAATGCTGTAGGCAATGAGGGAAACTTCCCATGCTATATCAATAGCTGTTTTTCTATTATTTCTAATAAATTTTAAACATTAATTGTTTTTGTATTATTTTCAACTCTTGATATCGCTAAAAATTTAAATGAAGACATACCTGGGATTAGACTTTGACGTTCCGAACCACGGACAATGATGTCATAGCAACTCATTTCAAACTTCTGACAGGTTGAATTACACGATAGCAAGGTATGGGGTTGAGCAATGTATATATACATAAAAGGCTGTATACAGGTAGTCCCTGCTGCAATATCTTGAGTGGACCCGGAACTATCTCGATGAACTTTCAAAAATCCAAAATTGGTGCAGGAGTCAGATGGATGGAGATACTCGCTATCTGATTGGTCGATATCACTGGAATTTGACGGCAGATTATCCTTCTGCCAATCACAGCGATTTAAATCAGTTTTTTGCGGAAGTTTCCTTTCTGCGATTTTAATCTTCTCTGGATGAAAATCTTCTGACAAAACTTTGTGTGAATACAATGTACAGGATATACGACCTGCTGTTAACAAGAGGTCAAAGGCCATGACCTTTGATTTGAGGTCAGCATCTGATGAAATAGAGGGAGCTGTCTTCGGTTGAAATTTGATTGGCTGACGATCGTTAGTTACGGTAGACATGTCGCTGATTCCACTATCGAAGGTCAACTCACTCGTTCTTGATTTCTTATTGGTCGAAAATGGTTTTTGTGTCTGACATGGTGATTGGATGATTTGAATACAGTTTGTAACAAGTCTGTTGATTAGATGAATCTGATTGGTACTGATGTAAAGGTCAAGGTCACTGGTTACGTTAACCTCCATCGAAAAGCCGCAAACTAACATCTGAAAAAATTATCAAATTTCAACAAATGAAATGCCTTTTTTCAGTACAAAGGGATTGTAAAAAAGTTTTTCTAACATTTTATGTGTATCAGGGACACTGATACCATTCCCAATTTTCAGTCAGACGTCTTTGGTTCCTGTAATTATTGAAATTGGAAGCCTTTACTTCCAAATATGGTGTTACACTCACCCGCTGCAAGACAATCTGTGATTCCCTTTTCTCGTAAACAATGGCTGGGGCAGCAACTACTCTTAAATCAAATGGTAACGTTATTGGTATCAGTTTTATTTCATCTTTCTCTTTTCTGGAAACAAGACATGATATCTTAAGCTAATACACAAATACAATCATAAACTCAATCACAACTCGGAGGTACTTGGGCAGGGCATGCCCAATAATAGCCTGATAACTCAAAGGAACTTGGGCAGGACCATAAGAGAGAGTATGCCCAATAATAGACTGATAACTCTGAGGTACTGGGCTGGGCCAGAGTTGTTAAGAGAGTGTGTCAGGGTGACATTAAGTCTTTCAAAAAAGGGAGCATGCCCTATAGTATCTCTCCGAGGAATTGGGTAGGACCAAAAAAGGGAGCATGCCCTATAAATACTCACTGTTGTAAAGATAAAACTGTGTTCCATTCTAAAGCAGGCATCTGAACATTAGGGAAGTCAGGATGGTTTTTACTATCGTGTTTAATGGACTGCATAAAATCATTCCAATACCCTAAAAAAGAGGAATTAAAGACGAAATTAACTAATGCTTTACGGGCTACTCTTCTGTTCCTGATGGGCTTATAAAGACGGGCAACACCATTCAGTGTGCAATCAGGGAAAATGCCAAGACAGTAAACACATTTATGCTCAAAGCACTCTGCGCTCCTTTAATGTAAGAAATCAACGTACCTGTACAGACAGTGAGGCCTTTAATATCCATCTGATACTGTCGATCTTCTACAGACGCTCCTGGAAACTGGGTCAGTCCCGCAGCAAGTGCACGATGATACAGCTCTCTTTTCATTGGATAACGTGGTAAGGGATTATCAGCTTGTGGATTGATATCAACTGAATTCAACTGAACGATTAAAGTATTGTGGTCTAGTGTCGAGCGTGTTTCTGGAACATCAGAGTTACTCCCCTTGTCTTCTGTTTCCGGCAGAAATATTCGAACACTGCTTAAGTTTATGTATAATAATGGAACATTATGAGCAGAAATAATTGGAATGTCAGAGTCGGCCATATTGGAAATTTTCTTCGGAGCAGACGGCAATTCACAATTGGTCAAATTTGATTCAAAAACTGCCAATAAGGATTGAATAACTGGTGGATAGATGATGACATCACATGGCTCCACCTTTAAACATATTTCCGAAATGTATTTATGAAAATATAATTCACATTGTCCAGTGACATTATCAATGTCCGTCAAACCAGGAACTACATCCATGCTTCGCTTTTTCATCCTCTTGGTTGTATTCTTACACAAGGCTCGTGTAAAAGTGAGGAAAAGAAATCCCTGAGTTTGGTCTCTGGTGGAAGGATCTTGAGAAGGAAACAGTGATTTGGTTGGAATGGCATGAGTTTCGTTGTTCCAGAATTTATTAGAAACAATATGGACATCTCTCGTTATTTCCTTCATACTGGATATCAGAATACCTTCGCATGATCCTTTCTTCCAGTCTTTTTTCTCCAGTCTGAAATTGACAATACATTCCATTATAGTCAAATAAGAATATTTTCAAAATCACTTAAAGCCTACATAATGTGGCTTAGTTTAGTAAAGAGTTGGATCGTCGTCTGCAAACTTATTCTGCTGTCCTGGCATAATTTTAATCAAAGGGCTCAAGAAATACATGAAAACTGCTCCCGTTCTTCAAAGATTTCCTCAATTGCAAACTGCAAGGCATTCATGAGTTCAATCAGTAGGGAAAGAAGGATATATGAAAGTAAGATGTCGTCTACTTACAGTTTTTGAAAGCTGTTGACGTTGAATCGAGCCAAATTTAATTTTATTTTACTATATACAGGCTGGATGTCGATAGATGTAGATAAATCATCCAGGCACAATTTCAAACAGTTCTCTGTAATAACAACAGCAACAATGTTCTATACCTGAGGGACATGTCATCAACTTTCTTATGAATATACCAGATGTAAAGCTAATTCAAATCGAACCTAATTAGGTCCCAGAGATGAACTATAAAAGGGTAGAACATCTCCTTATATAACCATTCAAAATTTAGACCAAGCATAAGTTATAGAAAACACTCACCAATGTTTGAGAGACAGGAGTAAAATTTGACGGTAATTTTCGGTAAAACTATCATAGTCCACATAGTGAGTTGTAAACCTTCGGAACTTCCTGTTTCGTTATTCTCGTGAACTGGACTCTCATTCTGCGACGCCTCTTCTGAAACTTCCTGTACTCCTTCTTCATCAATAGATATACCACTTTCTACCTTCTCGTTTGAAGAGTCCAGCTTGGTCTCCTTGGTAACCTTAGCTTCAGACGTCAAGTTGTCTATGCAAAACTGCGCCAGTTTTAAGGAACAGTTGACTAAAGTTGTAACTTGCTGAGATAAGACTAAACCCAGTTGAATCTAAAATATAAAACAAAATAATTCTATAGTCAAAAGTTAATGCAAAAAGAATCCCTTTGAACACTGGGTGTTAACAAAATAAAACGTCATATACCTTGAACACCAAGTGAAATAGAGAATGATGTGGCATCAATTACTAGCAGATGCTTGACCAGCTGCTCAGGTAGCTTATACATCAGGTAATTATACAACTGATTGAGCAGCCGCTAATGTTGAAAAATTTTAAGTAAAAAAGTAAAACTGAACAAAAATTCAAAACATGTTTCTGCATATTAAAAATTCATAATGATTTTGTATGATTCCATATTTGGGTTTGACGTCTGTTGATCTGTTGATATTCCATGAACAATATGATTAACCAATCAGCTTACCTGTTCCTGAGAAACGGCAACTGTCAGTGGTTCAAAATTGACCAATAGATTGAGACCGAGACTGGAGATATGTTGAGAGGTAGGAGGAGTGTATTTACACGATACAGCTATCGTAGATTTTATGTCCAAAGGTTTTAATATTGGTAGACATTTTTGGTTGTCATGGATACTGTATATGGTAAACTTTGAAAGGTTTAGATTCCATGGTAACTTCTCTCCTAAAGGAAACAAAATAAACACCAAATATTAATCTTGATCGTCGTGTGAAAGTCTGATGGCCTTGAATAAGTCATCTTCACTCATTATTCCAGTCAACCCAGCTGTAAATGGGTACAGATAATCAGGGAAAGATCAATGCCAAGAGGTTTGGCCGAGGACCAGCAGTAAATGAGTACAGATAATCCGGGACAGATCAATGCCAAGAGGTTTGGCCGAGGACCAGCAGTAAATGAGTACAGATAATCCGGGACAGATCAATGCCAAGAGGTTTGGTCAAAGACCAGCTGGTAAAAAGGATCCTTAACTGTGAATCTAAGTTGTTGTCCTTGTAAAATATAGTTCTTTCTCTATACTTACCAATTAAAGAGCCTTCTAAAGTCTGTATGGGAATTTCTTGTAGGGCTGATATTTGTTTACTATCAGAGCTGTGGATTGTGAGGGCTGGTAGATTGACCACCACCAGATGGCGTAAGGTATTGTTTAGTAATGCGGTGTTGATATTTTGGGTTATGTCCATACCAGGGTCTCGTAGGGTGAAGGTCTCTGATGATACATAGATACAAGTGTTCTTCAATTCCACCTAAAAAAAAAACAACCCATGATCTGTTATCATCGTGGACAGCATTTTATATTGTTGGGATCTAATGACAGACCTTTTGAACATTCATCCTAATAACCTTTTGACCTAACCTGATGACCTCTGTTTTAATCAATCAAATGACTCCCCTCTTTGTGATGCGAACCAATGGTGTATTCCCAGGAGCATTAGTTATGATTGGTAGAAAATTAAAAGCACCTACCTGTATATTTAACATCCTAATTAGTGGATACCAGGAAGCAATGGCAGACTTATTCTCTGGTTTCTCTGAGTCACTTGTATCTTCTACCACCAAGCTCAGAGCATTGGGAGACATCAGTTGAGACTGGGACTGTGTCTGAGGTCTGGAACTTGTCGGTTGAGTAACGGAACTACTTGAATGTAATGAAACTGAAAAAAAACAGACCCAGATATGCTGAAAGATGATGACTTATTGAGTCTTTTCATTTTCCAGCTGTTGAGGGATTTGTATAAATGCATGGACCCATGAGAGTGGAAATAAAACAAAGCTCAAACATAGACACACGTTGCCTTTTTGAAATGTGTCATAAAATTTTCACCTTGTGAAATATTCTGGAGTGGTGAGGCAGCATGAGCAAGAGCCATATCTACAGTAATCTCTTTCTGTTTCACAGCTGATGGTTGAAGTCTTGGCGTATAGTGGAACCAGGTGTTCAGTTTGGGATCCAAGTAAACTGTCAGACCTTCTAGTCCTAGCAGCATCACTGCAGGCGCTGTAAATAGATTGAAATCAATCAGAGAAAGGAAATCGATTACAGTACTTCAAGTATGGTCTAAGGGAAATAACTCTTGTTTAGAATAATTTAAGACTAAAGACTACAATTACCTTCTGTAATTTTTGTATTCGAAAATAAATACGTAAAGTATGATTCAAATTATGGGAGAATGCAATCTTAAAGGTATCCAAGGCTGGTCTAAGGGAAATAACTCTTGTTAAGAATAATTTCAGAATACAGACAACAGTTACCTTCTGTAATATCAGTATTATGAGGTATTTGTACTGTGAACACCATACAATCTGTTTTAATATCTTCTAAGTATATTTTCTCTCTAACTAGGGTGCTTGGTAATTCTAAATTTCTAGTATCACTGGGGCCATACAGAATGGGCATCACTCGGGTACTTTTCGCCTCTGAAAAGAAGATGAAATGGCAATCAGCTTTGTTTAAAAAATTGGTGTATTTTAGGTTCACAAGGATCCTTTCTATCAGCTGATCCTTGACCAAACCTCTAAGCAATGATTTTACAAGGACAACAACTTAGGTTGTCGAGGATCCTTTCTATCAGCTGGTCCTTAACCAAATCTCTTGGCATAGATCAAACCGACTGTGCTGCAGAATCCATCGAGGTATAAAGACTTTGTGTTAGATTAAGGTGAGAATAGTATTCTCAAAAAGCACTGGCCTAGGTCATGAAATATTGTGTGAACATACCTTTAGAGTAGAGTAAAAGTTGAAGTGATGTCAAGTTACCAGTATAAGATGTAACTAATGAGGTTGTACAGGATTTTAATTCCACACCAGTAATAACCAAATCTAACACTGGCATCGATGTGCCTTGTAACTCTGAAAAACCACAGGCATAAAATTAAATGCAAATGTGTATGTTTCGTTTCATGGTGACTGCACTTGCCATCCATGATCTTACAAAATTGTTATACATCTCTTGCTCTGAGTGATTTAAACGTCAACCATTCAAATGCTCTGATACAAACAGATTTTCCATCTAAATGTGTAATATGACCATTTTTACTCGTTTGATACTCGTGGGTAAAAATTTCTCCCAAGTTCAAAAAGTTCTGAAGAAGAATTGGTATTAAATGACAAAGCTCCATTAGCAACCATGTCTTTCAATAGCAACATAAAAAGTAAAGGAACTCACGGTTACTAGGAAAAATATCATCACACAAACTGTCATCTGTATATTTATTAACGTCTGGCTTCATTTGTATCCAGCTGGACGCCATTCTCATAAGTAACAACACACACGGCTTGGTTAGACTGACGGACAGCTGAGGTAGTTCGTACATAGACTCAGAGTGAGGCAGACTTGAACTGTTCCTGCAATAAAAATAGGTCATGAATAAGATGTTATAAGGTCATTGGTCAAACATCAAATCAAATTCAACTGTCACAGAAAACAACCCATGCAAAATTGACAACTGTTGCAACAATGCCATTCACTTACAGGAATCTCTGCGTTGTCAAGGTAACACTTACCAATTCTGAGGCGACACCAACTCTCGGAAGTAAATGACTCCATTACAAGGGGGGACAACTGTATGTAAATGTGAGGATGTCCCATCTCCAGCAATCTTCTGTAATCCTCCATGTAGATCTAATACCTAAAAAAACAAGAACCATATTTAAATCAGAAACTGACTGGCCCAGTAAAGGGGAGAAACACCATGAGGTGTACAATGAGAGAAAACTATGCCAAGTCAGATTAACCTTTTCAATACTAGGAGCCTCTCTTCAAACCACATTATTTTATGATGAATACCCAAGTGGTCAGTGAAAGAGCTATTATCATAAGACGTCGCATAATGTTAGACCAAATATCTAAAGTCATTTAACTTGTAGATCAGGGTATAAGAAGTTTAATCTAGTCTACAATCAGTGTTTAAAAGTATTGATGTAATAAGAATATTATCTGTACCTTTAACTGGGTATGAGAATGGCAATGATATAACAAGTTACTAGATGGTCCAGTAATATTACTAACTAATTTCACCAGTTTTTTAGGGTACATGGGAGTAGTTGTTTGAAAATCAAAGCGTGTTGCTGCTATCTTAACAGCTGGTAGTGAGTACGTCTTCTGTTCTCTTGTATTGCTTTTGGTATCCTGCAAGAAAGATATCTTTGATAAAATTACCACATCTCTAGGGTTCTCAGAATCGTCAAGGACCTTCCGGGCAATAATAAGGAATTTGAAAAAGAAGGGCCAACTTTTGGAAAGAAAGCTCTGATAAAATTACAGTGTTTTTAGTGGCCAGTGTCAAAAGACTCATGTAAAATGAGGGTGGACGCCAAACCAAAGCAATGTTACCTTAGTTTTCCTGCTTGACTTATTACTCTTCTTGCTTCCGTCCCATTTTTCATGTTCAGGAGGTAGAGCTATGATGATTGGTTGAAGTAAGGTCACATGACATGAACGTGTAGGTATGAATTCCTCCAATGATTGAATCTGTTCTTCTGTCAATTTACTTTTATCTCCTTCATCTTCCACTGGAAAAAACATAAAAAAAATTTTGTGCTCACTAGAAATTAACGTCATAAACTTTTGAAGTTATATTACATGTAGCTCAGAGTACATGACATTTTATTTCATTCACACTCAGTAAGGGGTTACTAAAAAATTCTTACCAAATATGGGCGTGTTATATGGTAAATACTGGTGATTATTAGCACAATGTATGATTTTCTCTACACGATGTAGAAACGTTGACGTAAGGTTGACATGCAGGAAGCCAAACAGGAATCTCATGACAGCGTGTTCTCGTTGGAATATCCCATCACCTTCGCTAGTTAAAGATGACTTGCTACTAGTTGCTGAAAAATTCATCAAAAAAAGAAAATAATTATGCCGATGGCCTTGAATAAGTCATCTTCAACTGTAAATGGTTATGAATAGTCTGGGTAAGATTGATGCTAAGAGGATTGACCAAGGACCAGGTGGTATAAAGGATCCTTAGTTACCTTTATGGTATACTCAGTGTCCACAAATACACATTGAAAACTCTTTACAATCACTAGAAGTCTTCAAGAGCCAGAACAATCAATACCTACTTTGCTCATATGCTTAGTCATAATCTATTATAGTAATTGTCCCACCCCTAAAATTAGTTTTCAAGAGACAGACGCCAAAATACTTACTGCTAGTTTTCCATTCGTCATTTTGCCAGGAATATATATAATCAAACCAGAAGGCACCAAATCTCTGGATAGCGTAGGATTCTGTCATGTTCTCCAGGTGGCTATCGTTAGTGGTGTGGTACTCTCCCAGTTGACCTTGACATTCGCGAGAATAGTCATCAAATAAGGAATGACTGATGTAATTCAGGCCTGTTTTATTGGATAGCTTATCTCCCCCTTTTAACATTGTTGATGACTGAAAATAAAGAAAAAAAACTGTTAGAGGGTCCATTTGATGCATCAGTTGAATTGATTTAAGGCCTCACAAGATTTAGCTATTCAAGGACCCCTGATAATGCTCATTATCCCAAGAAGATCCATACACCTCTGGCTGAGAATTCATCAACTAAGATTCAATCATCAAATTTAAAAATCAACTCACTCTCGTATCATTGGAATCCTTTTCTCCACAAGCACAAGGACCTTCAGTTCGTAGCTTGATACATGTTACTCCCACTTGAGCGTTCACAAAGGTAATAGACTGAATCAGGATTTCTGCCGTCAGACCCTCGACTTCCAGGAATAAGAAAGGGTTGAACTGAAGTCTGCTGGAGGAACTGGCATGGGAGGAAGAATCTTTGATTCTGTCAGTAAGCTGAAAAAAAAAATTAGATATTTAGAATTGAATTCAGCATGAAAGTCTCTGCACCTGTTTAGGCAAATGAGGAGAGACTAACACCATGCAGTGTGCAATGAGGGAAATCTAGCCAGGGCAACAACAGTCTACTCTCTACTCAAGCTGTCGAGGGAAAGCACACAGGGCCTCCTTTCATTGCCCAATCTGATTCGGATTTTCCATGACCCCCCCCCCCCCCCTCCGTCCTGCATCACGGAAAAGGGGAAAGCAGAAACGCTGCTAAGAGCAAGATTAAAATGACTAGTTACCTTAAAGAGTAGAGTTGCCTTGTTAATATAGAAACCTATAGAAATGATGGGTTTAATATCTTTAACACTAGCTAGAGTTTGTTCTGCACTATTCTCCTCATCTTCATCAGAATAAATCCAGGACATGGCCCAACTTCCCCACCCTACCTCATCTTCTGGTCTTATCTCTATTTCTTTATCCAGGTTCTCATCTGAAATAGCCGAATGTTACAAAAATGAAATTGCAGTAAGGTCAAGAGATCTATTCACTATTCAGCTTAAGGATGAACTTACAATAGCTTACAATAAATCAAATCTAGAAATATAAAAAAGGATTCCATAAATTTCATTCTTAATTTTTGCCCCTTATGTGAAATTAAAGCTCTAGACTATTGATTTGATAGAAAACTTGAGAAAACCTCTTTAAATATGTGCAAGAAAATATCAAAGAAAAAGACAACTTAAGCTTACCGTTTGTGGTCCTGTTCACTTCCTGAGTATTGGGTTCAGTTTCGTCAGCCTCCCGTACATTGATAACTCCAAAATACAGGGCAATACACATATCAATCAGCCTCATAAACATCGGTAGCTGTGTATCATTAAACGTCACATTCAACTCTTCACAGAATAAGTTAAATCTAGTCAAATCAATCAAATCAAATTATTTATAACGATAGCCACATTATTAATGACACGATTAACGATGCCTTGAATATAACCCGGAGGTAACTCTTCTGTGTCTTGTTTCTTTAACTTGGCTTTCGCTTTACTGGCTTGTAACTGTTTTTGAGAAGCATCGCCTGACGCACTGCTTGAAGATTCTTCGTATGCCGTGTCACGAACTTTCAAAATACATTCAATTGTGTTGATAGTTATGACTACTGGTTCTGAACCTAGTTTCGTCCACGGTACGTGAATTCTGAGCTCGTGAATCCGTCCACTTTTAAAGGTAACTGGTATCTGGAGCAATTTTTCAAAAAAATCCAAACGAAGTTCCAAATTGTTCAAGACTACATCTCCACCCCATAAACTCAGTTGAAAATCTTCATGTCGCAGTTTGACATATTTATCAACGTAACCCATTAACAGTGGGGTGATGTATGATTCGATTTTAAACATGGTGTTTTTTCCTTTTAGTCTTCAAACTTCCAAATCAAACCATTGTATCTTTATCAGAACAAATCTTACTGTCAAAGCTTGGCAAACAGTATCATGGCATCTATTTCTGTAAAAATAGAAAAAGAATTTTGAATTCTTACAATATTGCCTAATAAAAAGCCTAGAAAGGAATTTTCGCAACAGTTTATGAAAAAATCAGTGACAGTGAAGGGGGTGGAGTAATATTGTGAAGGCTTATGTTTCCCCCCTTCCCCTTTTCATTTGGCCCAGCAAAACCATAGTCTACTTGCATGAATCATTCAAGATTTAATTCTCGTTTTGCTCATTCAACAGAATTGCATCTTTTATGTGAATAGTCTACATATTTCCGTAAATAAATGATTGATTTTTATGCAACTGCAAGTGCAAGAAGGGCAAGGCCATAAAATTATTGATTTTGACTGAGATAATACGCCCTCAAACCTTTTTGACAACTATCCAAACGGAATGACAATGGTAGAACTATGAAGATTGGTGAAAACAGATCTCGTTTGCGAAACATGGACAGTAATAGAATAATATCAGAAAAGAAATAATTACCTAATTCTTCTGCCAACTCACAATCGCCATATTTGTTAGTCGCGAGTAGGCCCACTCTTTTGAGCTCTTCAGTCAAAATCATAGCGGCTGGATACTTGATATTTTTCATGACAAAAACCGGATGAAGAACTAATAATTAGTTTTGAAATTCACCAAGAATGTCGAATCAGATGGCTAAAACCTTTAAAAGAAATTTCTAGCCATATTGTCAAAAGAGGAACGCAAATTCTGATAATCTTGAAGTTGAGTTGGTAGCGAGTATCAGGGAAAGATAACTCTTTGCAATAAGAATTTTTATGTTAGGAATTTGATGTGGTCTGGGACTTAAAAAACTTCTCCTGGTTTTCTGAGGTGTTGTACGACAGTATTAAGGTCATCTTGGGCCATTTTCAAGCACCTAAAAAGGTTGATGCTTATTGTAGATCATTAAACTAACAAGAGTCAACATCTTCAGTACTTCAACTCTACCCTTAGAAATACAGGACTATCAGGCTGAAGGAAAAGTTGAGGGGGAGGGAAGTATGTGCTGCAAGCTATAGGTGGAGGGGAGCAAATACTACCAGGAAGAGTCTCAAAGCTCTGATATTGCATCCCCACCCCATATCCAACCGAGTTGTCCAGTTGTACAGTTGGGATACCCACCCATAGGATATTATCATCTCCAGCCAGTTTTATTCAAAATACAAAACAAAAGTTTTTAATGGTTTTTATGTAGAAAATACCTGTAATAAAACAATCTAACTGACAGAATCACATTTGATTTCCAGCCACTGAAAATCCCCCCTCTCTCTTCTATTCAACACCACCCTCTAGTTACCGTATGACAATGGATTGTGAACTGAATAATGGTGACATGACAGATGAGAGGGGCATCTATACCACAAACATTTTATAATGAATCTTTCAACTAAACTGTTACAAGTAAAGTTTGTATGTATATCTGGCAAAACCTCCTTCAAACTTAGCAGAGACATAGTCCATTTATCTGAAAAACTGCACAGAGTTTAGCACTTCATCTTCGACTCAAATTTTCACATTTTGTCACCAACGTTATTATTTGTATTGGTCTCCATTTCATTAATCAAGGTCTCTGATTGGCTGATGACAGATTCTGGTTCACTGACTATGGAATCCGATTGGTTAATGTTAGATTCTGGTTCGGCTAATGTGGATTCTGGTTGGCTACTGCTTGTTGAATCAGGATTACTGAAGACAGATTTGAATTCTGATGGGGTGTCGTACCTGTGCTTTATTCCAATCAATGTCGCGTCTGCCTCAAGTATTGTCACGTGTCGGTCTGCACCCAAAAACTTGGAAGTCATTTCTAAATCGTTGATTCTTACTTTCACTTTATTGCCTAATATGTAGGAGTTTCCTTTCCTGTAACAGAAAAAAGATCTATAATGTAGGATTCAGTTTAAAGGGATTGTAAAGAGGTTTTCTAAATTTCTATGTGTATCAGGAACACTGATAGCAACAATTTGCAACGTTCCAATTTTCAATCAGATGTCTGTGGTTCGATTAATGACTCGTGGCCAATTGATGCTATCAGTTTCCATACCAACTTACAGCTTGGTAACCTGTTATAGCGTAGAAAGAATTTCATATGTCAACTGAAATTGGAACCTATGACGACTATTTGTTCTACGTAACCAAGCAAGTGATGTCATTATCATGTAAAGAATTAACACTCTGACTGTGCTATAGAATCCTCAATGAGATGGGAAGATAGAAGAGGGCTGAACATATTACCTAGTGTCTTCTACAGCTGGTTTTTTACATACGCAATGAAATTTTCCTCCAAAATCAATGTACATATCATCTTCAACGATGTTAATAATAGTTCCACTGACAACCCTTGACTTGTATGAACCAATCTGCATCAGCTTCGAATTTCTCAGTAATGTGGAAAAGCTTTCTGTATCTTCATCTACTACAGGCAAACCACTTTCCTCTGTTTCTTGTCCAGGCTTGGATTGAACCACATCAACATTTTCTTCAGGGACTGGGGCGTCCTTATCAACGAAATATATAAAGCTTTTCTGAGGCTCTGGCTGAGGGACATCTGGTGATTTCTTTCCAGTTGTGTCTGGTATCTCACGAATCGACAACTTCAATTCATCCTTAAATTGTTTTTCAATTTTCCTGGGTTTTGCTTCTTCTTTTGGTTCTGGTTTTGGTTTTGATTTTGGTTTGGGTTTAGGTACAGGTGCTGATTGTATCATTCTGTTGAGGATCTCCACTTTCATTTTTTCATAACTGGACTCTTCTGCATCTGATTTTGCTGATTTCGGTGTCTGATTCTTAAATTTTGAAAGAACCTTTCCCAAATTTTCTGACTTCTCTGACTTTACTGACATTTTTTTCTCACTCTTTAACATTATCTTTTCAGTACTAAATTCTGCATTTGATTCAGCAATTTTCTGACCAATGTCAACTCGAGGTGACAAATTTTGATCTTCATTTTCTGGATCATTTTTGGATGTCACTTGTTCCTTTCTGTTCAATTTTTTCGATCTGTCGTTGGAGATAATTTTACTTATTTGTTCTGATAGTTTCTTTCCTTTGCCACCCGTCGATGAATAGCAATATAAGACCTGATAGTTGAAATTTAATTTTGTTAAGAAATTTCCACGACAAGCTAACATGGTGGCTGCCATTTTGTTTTCCGAAACCAATCATATCGTTTGTTACATTTATCACCATAAAACAACATCTCTGATTGGTTGAAATTTTAGCCAGAGGCTTTAACAGCTTTCTTTTTTTAGAGAGCACATTTTCATTTTAATTTATTTTTCTGAATTAAAATTATGGCTTCAAATGCGGCAAATCTTGTTGAATTTTTCAGTTTGGTTGGTCAATTAAAGGTACGTTTCATTGGAGAGAAAGGTCTTCGCTGTCATGTAATTATTTTGATTTTATGAAGCCGCCAAGTAAGAGCTGATAAAAGGGTGGGGGGGGGGGGGGGGGGGGGGGGTATCGATTAATGGGGTTGGGTGTATCGATTAATTACAGACTAAGAGTGGCATCAGCTCTTCGTTTAATGATAAAGCAAAACATTTTGAGCCCTGCATGTTAATAATGACATTCTCCTTTGAATCCTTATGATTTAGAACTGTAGTCAATATGCTATACTTTTTGTCCTCCGTACAACAAATCTTAGGTGCATTTTGTTTTAATTTCAGAGAGTAAAGCGAACAGGATGGGTGAGGAACCACATTACAGACCCAGAAAGTGTAGCAGGTCACATGTATCGAATGGCTGTGATGGCGTTATTTATCTCCCCTGACACAGCCGTTAATAGAGACAGGTAGAATATTCGCAGGGCACTGTAGACAGCAAACTTCGTTTATCTTACAAATTATATGACCACCTATGTTAGGCATCTTGTTGTTAATATTGGACAATAAACCAAGGCCCTCTGTGTGCTAAACAGCTGTGCATGTTAAAGATCACCTGACTGTTTGAAATCTAAAAAGAGAAGGCCTTAGGCTTATGCAAAATGTCCCTGTTGTACGCTGCATATTGTCGTGTTATTTTAGGTGTATAAAGATGTGTCTGGTTCACGATATGGCAGAATGTATAGTAGGGGACATAACTCCATTTGACGGTATCACTAAAGAAGAAAAGAATAAAAGAGAAGAGGTAAGCTAAGAATTTCACTAAGACTACACTCTCCCCCCTCTCAAAAACCAACAAAATATGGAGAGTTGGTGCTAGGAAAAGTTCCATTGGCTGTGAGAATTTATTATTTCTATATGGATTTATTTATTTATAGTTCAACAGCTTATTAATTATATTTTCAGACAGCCATTCATTATATTTGTGGTCTGATTCCAGAGAAAATTGGTCAGGAAATACTTTTCTTATGGCAGGTAAAGTCTACACCTTGCTCTTCTGTAACTAATGGGCTAAAAAATGTGGGCAACACCCTGCAGTGTGAAATTAGGGAAATTTTGCCAGGACAGCATTAGCCAATTGTTTTTCAGTTTCCAACAGTTGTGGTATCTTTAACGTGCACAGTCTGTAGCACCTGAGAGTCGAGAGAAAGGATGTGTTCCTAAGTGATAAAATTTCTATTTGTTTCATTGTAGGAGTATGAATCAGGGACTACACCAGAAGCTATATTTGTAAAAGACCTAGATAAATACGATATGATCCAACAAGCTCATGAATATGAACAGATAGAAAATAAACCTAATAGTCTACAAGAATTCTTTTCAACAACTCAGGGTAAGAATCATCTTTAAAATGTAAAGCTATAATGACCTTTGGCTTTTACCTTAACTGAAACAGACACCTTTCCAATCCAATCAAATTGCTGCATTCTATGATACAAGAATGATGCTTTCAAGGTATAGCTGGACATTGTGCAGATGGGTAAGAATATGATAAATATTTTTTCCCCATTATTATATACACTATATACCGCTACGTTTTTACTGCTTTACCAATTTGATCCTTTACTATCATTTGTTTTAAATGCCCTATCTCCTCTTCGAATTTGCTTAATACAAATTACAATTTTTTAATATTGTAGGTCAGTTTAAAACAGAACAAGTTCAATCTTGGGTTAAAAGTTTACAAGATATTAGAAGTAACGCTGTCTCAAAATCAGAAGACAATACTACGTAGCGTGCAAATGTTTCAAATATTTGTGATTGAGAAATGAAAAAACATTGTCAAACTATTTGTTTCGCTCCTTGAAATAGTTTTGGATTTGAAGGATTCCAAGTTGATTTAAAAGGATACCATAAAGCTCAAATATTTGATGAGTTTTCTACGAGTCTTGTGAAAGGGACATAATTATGGGCATTACAAAACATATTATTCAAAATGTTTATATTTTAATTTTACGTTTATTGGAAAGATTATGGCAGTTATTTTTTGAAAATCAAACTATGGAGTCAAAATGTCACACCTGACTGTCATGTGGCCATACTGTTCTCACACACTCACACTCTGCAACTGAGGTTATGAACATGATATTATTTAAGAGGGTCAGCATGTTTTCAAAATCAAACTTTGTTAAGTCACAACATTTTCAATCAAACTTTGATATTATCAGCAGGGACAGTATATCTTCGTATTTACCGGTCAGATATGACTGTGGTGTGGAAATGACTGAATAAAATGATTTTCTAATTGTTCTTTTTTAAGCCATTTATTTGAACCATTCAAACTGTAACATTGTGATAAAAAAATAAACTTTTTTTGAAATAATTTCACCTTCGTCATAGAATATAGAATAATTTAAATAATTTAAGATATTGCCCTCAACCTGCCCTTATTAAGGGGGTAGGGCCTCACTGTTACATCTCCATGATGACAACGTACCCTTCAAAATCATTCGAATTGTTTCCCTGTTCACCAGTCCCTACCCTAGGGACAATCTCGCTCTAATAATAGATTTGTACTCAATATACAATATGTTCATTTCCCCTCCCCCTCATCATCATCATCATCATCTTCACTCTCCTCTGAACGAGAAGCTTCGTCTTTTTTCCGTTCTGATTGCGATAAATTGAAATGATAATCAAACGAAAACTCTTTCTTGTTGTGTCGATTATCCATCGTTAAATTGGCTTCATTGGTTTCTTTTTCATATCTTCGTAACTACAAGAAGAAATTGTCTGCATTATTAAGGATACATTTGATAAAGCTCTCGAAATAAAATGAAATGAATGGAGGTTTACGTCCTACTTTTCTGCACCATAGGCGGATGAAGACTGTTTAAAGCTCTTGTGGTCAAATATTAGATTGAAAATGATTTTTATTAACAAGAGAATTTTCTTAAATATAGGCATTCAACATTGTAGAAAGGGAAATTTAGATGGATTCCTACTTCTCTGCTTCATTCAACATTGTAGAAAGAGAAATTTAGATGGATTCCTACTTCTCTGCTTCATTCAACATTGTAGAAAGGGAAATTTAGATGGATTCCTACTTCTCTGCTTCATTCAACATTGTAGAAAGGGAAATTTAGATGGAATCCTACTTTTCTGCTTCATTCAACATTGTAGAAAGGGAAATTTAGATGGATTCCTACTTTTCTGCTTCATTCAACATTGTAGAAAGGGAAATTTAGATGGAATCCTTTTCTGCTTCATTCAACATTGTAGAAAAGGAAATTAAAATGGAATTTCTTTGTCCTACATCTCTGCTTCAGTTTTAGACAAATAAAGACCAGCAATCCAATGCAGTGAGCATTGAGGAAAATTTGAAATTACCTGAGAGAGAAAATCAACTCCCGTCCCCTTTACCTCCCAACCAGTTATCTTGTTAAATAATTGTTCAGGGGAACAAACTCCTACAACTCCTTCCTTCTTAAAATACTGAAATATAAACATCAGTCTAGTCATTATAGCTGACACCTCACCACAGATGTCTGACTGAAAATCGGAATGGTTCAAATCGATGCAAACAATGTCCCTGATACACATGACAAGTTTAGAAAACATCTTTACAACTCAAGAGTTAAGGCTTACCTTAGTTATATTACTACAATCTCTGTAGAGAAATTCGTTAGCTCGGGGATGTGTCAGATCTACAGCTTGTCCAACGTCTATTACCCAGACCTTGCCATCGTGCCATAATAGATTAAACTCTGATAAATCAGCATGGACTAGACAACACTCCTTCTGTAGCTTCTTCATTATCTAAATAATAGCATGGACAAAAATAAAACTGGAGCCATGTGTGGCACATAGTGGAACTTTGCTAATTTGCTAAAGTAGTTCATTTCACTTGGTTAGAGCAATGTAAAATGTTGAAGCATTGCGTACAATAAACTAAGGAGTGGTATACCATAACATTGTGTTCCGTTATTTAATTAATGAGTACCAAACTTATGACCGCTGTTCTTATTCGCAGCAATACACAACTAGTGATCGCTATGGTGTAAGAGCTTAAGAATAAATTTACTAAGTTCAGAATGTGCATTAGCATTTCTTATCCCACAGCAATTCCTTATTCTTTAGTGAGTTTCGAAGAATATTGAAAAATTACGTGGCCAGTAGAGTAGAGTAAAGTATTTTTAATTAAAGGAGGGATTACCTCTAAAGTTTGTTCATAAGCATCTTGTATATCAACAGTAGAAAGTTTGACATCCTTTAATTTAGGGGCAGGATGGGTGTTGTTTCCTATAAAACTCATAACTAACAGATGTTTCTTGATAGCCACTACTGTCGGACACGGCATGTCAAATTTTCTCATTCTGAAATATTACAGCACAAAATGTATTACCAATATGATTTGAATGGGCTGACTAGGTTGAAAGCATCGACCAGGGCATTAGAATTGTCCTTGAGAGGAATTCGAACTCATGGCACTAAAATACATTTTAAGTGTCTGCCTACTGACAAAGCTATCCCACAGGCCAAGACCGTATTTTCTAATTTTAACAAAGATAAAAGTTTAGATTTGAAGAAATGGAGTAATGGGATGGGAAAAAAACATCATACTAAATTCAGTTTTCGAAAATAAGGTCCCCGTCGATTAAGGGGGTAGGTAAATTCAGGGCATTCCCATATCAATATATCTTGAAGAAAGCAATTACCCAAGGTAAAATTACCTGTTGAGATTGGCCACTTCTTTCTCGGCCCAAATTCTGAGGATTTTTCTAGGGTTTAGCTTTTTAAAATCATCTCGTAAAAACCTGTGATCTCCCACGATATATTGTTGACGATTTTTAAACTCATTTAAACTGGTTTTAAAGATTTTTATAGCACATTCTTTTGGCATTTCTTTTCCTTCAAATCTGTAAATGCAATATGACATATAAACATGTGAACACTCTACAATCAAGTCAGATAACTCATTTGCAATCGTGAATAAACATTAAAGACTAGAAAAATACCATTTAGCAGAAATACCTTATAGAGGAATTCTGAGATCACTGAAATTTGATCTACCAGTTTAAATTAAATTTGAAACAACTTACACTCCACCAAAGGCGTGAAAAACAGCAGCTTCCTTTCCAGCACTGATAGAACCAGTGACAGAGTCCAGTACTCCAGAATTGACTAGTTTAAACAAGAGAATTCTAGTTCGGGGATCCACTACTTGATCCTGAAACACAACACAAAAAATATAGTCACAAAGAACAAATTCTAAGCAACAACATGTTTCAGGTTCTGTTTTAATATTTCTATATTCATTTGTAGTCACAAATAGTGTTGCATTGGGACCAAGTTATTTCATATAAGTGATCAAGAAATAAATTTATAATAGCAAATGAAATGACACAAAAAAATATACGTACTGCTGTAGCTTTTTCTGCTTTCTCGTGAACTCTGTTGTACTGTTTACTACCCGTTTGTGAAAAATGACGTAATTTATTGTAAATATGATTGGGTAAAACTAAATTCATCTTCTCAGCATCTCCCGACAAAAATTCTGGATGAAACTACAATGAAATGAAATGGGGTTTTACATCCTACTGTTCTGCACAAGATTGGGCTAATGTGGGGAACAGATAAAAATCATGGTTAATGGTAAGATATGTCACTCATTGTCCACTTGGCTGTGTGTTATCTCATTAATAATCCCATTAGTGCCTTCACTTGCATCAATGACACGGGGAAGACTGCTCCATTACTCTATCTTATCCTTTGCTGTCATCTTGGCTCCTCAGAGATTTCTGCTTAAGTCAAGTTCAAGCCCTGGACCTCCAAGTTTGTGAGAAAGCATCTTATATGACCAGAGAATTTAGCTACAAATATACCTTCATAATTTTCTCAGCATTTTTACGACCACATAATTCAGCATCATGTTTAGATTTAACAACTCCATCATCATCTACTGTTAAACCATTTTTATCAAACTGATACTTCCCTATAATACAGACAATGACATTAATTACAAATTTACTTACATCAGACATAATATACATGGACAAAGTATCGTATATTGTGTACATGCCAGGTAACAAAATGGTAAGAGACACATGTCCATGTTTCAACGAAACGTAAAGTTCATTTAACCCCAGTATTAGGAATCAGAAAAAAGTAAACTCAAATGAAACAAATAAAACTTACTGAATCCTGATTTAGGTTCGTAAACCTCCTCATCTGGACTGTCATCTATATACTCATCATCTACAGGTTCTACAGGCTGTCTGGCTTTATAATTATCAAATGATATTGATACTACAATAACCAAATAACACAAAAAAACAGAATGATCAAATAACAAAATTTATATGTCCAAAATCGTAAATCAATTTTCTGGATTTTCAACATTGTTGTTGACACATCTTGTTAACATTTCTCCCACTGTGTTCTTTGAAAATAAAGTCAAAATCAAGATACTACATGTATATTCTATATAATTCCTGTTAAGAAAATTTCTATGGCTAAAACAGGTAGAGAAGGATTAAATATAAAATAGTTTTCACAGAATCTGGCTGAAAGTTATAAACACTGCTATCTTACCTTTGCTTTCTCCGTTAAATTTCTTCGCTTCCCGAGCCAACATTTCATTCTGTTCTTTATCAAACTGTAGCTGTAACATCTGAGCTATTTTTAAATCATCTACTGTCTCTGGACTGTCATAGGCAGCAGCTATCATAGCATCTATATCTTCTTCTGTTTCCAAACTAGAAATAAATTAAATAAATTAAATAAATAGAGTTTTTCTGCACCATGTGGGCTAATGAAGATGGGCAATGCCATGCAGGGTGCAATGCAACATTAGCCTACTCTTTTTCTATTTCCAACTGTCAAGGGGTCTTTAACATGCACAGTCTGTAGCACACGGGTCCTCGGTCCAAATTAGAAATTTCAGCCAAAGCATCAAAACTTGTTAATAATCCTTAAGCAATGATGTTCCATTATTTATCAAAAATTGTTGTTTAAAAATGATTGGGCTGTATAAATATATAATGATGTACGACATAATGTTGACTCGCGTCTTGAATGAAATAACTAAGTACCTTGCTTGAGCAGGTTGAGGTTCTTTAGGTGCCACTTTTTCTAATTTTTTAGCTAATTTTAATTCTTGGTCTGACTGTATTTTACTGGCTAGTTGTTCGGACATGACGTCACTCAATGAACATGGTATAACTGGAGTTGGCTGACCCCAAGGTGATTTCGGTGGTGCTGACCAGGCACTTGTTTGTGATTTTGGTATTTCTTCTTGAGACATTGTTACTCCTAAACTCATTCTGGAATAGAAAACAATTTAATTATTATTTATAATGAAAAGCCACAGGGATGGAAATGAAAATCTAAATTATAGAATTGTCACTTCTGAACTAAGACCAGTTTAAATTGACATCAATAATGTTTTAAATTTTTATTTCTTAACCATTATCATTGATGTGCCTACAGAAGCATTGTATTATGTAGGCCTACTATGTGCTATGTGGACTCTAACAGGTATGCCCAGTTGACAAACCCAATCACAGAATGTAAACAAAATCCCCCCACCCTCATTTTAATTTTAAACTTAACGAAGTTTTTAAGTACCTTTTCTTTCACTTAAAGCTTTCAAACTCAGTATCTGTGTTGTCTGCAGTCCCTCTCGTTAGACTAAATGCAGACACACACGAAATACGGAATATATATAACAATTCCGTCTAAAAATAACTAATTTCGTAATTATTTTCAAACTGTTGTGAAATTGACAGTAGTCGCCATTTTCCAGACGTTTTCGTCCGCTAGAGTCTCACTTGCTTATCTGCCCCTGAAATTTGGAGTATTTCTTTAACTAGATTATTTTTCATTTTATTATTTCTCAAATTACGAAAAAGGTGATCATTTTACAATTTTTCAATAAAACTGGAATTTCCATTTCAAAATTCATTAGTTTCATTTTTGAAAAGGATTGAGCAAAGAAATTCATGACTTTAAAAAATTCCCAAATTAATCATCACTCCTAAACTTCATCAAGCTACAACTTCCGGTTTTGTAATTTGTAAAATCACGTTTTGGTAATTCTTGAATTTTTAACGATTTGTAGTAATTATTCAAGCTTCTGCTTTCAATTTCCCACGTCTTTGCATAGAATTGATTTAGAGGCTCGCCACTAAACGCGATCGGTAGTGATTTTCTCTCAAATTATGACGAGAACACAGTTTGATGACATGTTTCTTTTTGTTTATTGGTTTTTACTCTTCAGTTTTCATAACTTTTCATACTCAGCAATCAAGAATATATATCTTTTCTTTCAGAATCAGAATGGACAGAATATTGAGATTGGGTGGAGCAGGTGGAATGCCTGGTCTAGGACAGGTAAAACATATTAATTCTCTGTAGATCTACGCACTTTAACAGAAATTGAGCTTGGAATATGGATGTAGAAATATTTAACCACCCTGTCTATGTTTACTGCTTAGTAATTTCTAGTCATATACCTAGTGTTTTGTTTAACCGTCCACATATTACAGATTCAAACATCAAGTTACTGTGAAAGGTATTGCTAAGATTGATCCTGATTAAATGTTGTTACCTGTAAGCTACTATATATATACAATGTGTAGATTATTATGATCGTTATATTTTTGGATTGATATTTCAGGGTGCCCCAGCAGCAGATGCCCCAGTTGTAGATACAGCGGAACAAGTTTATATTTCTTCATTAGCTTTGTTAAAGGTAAGGTGCATAAATCGAACCATTAAAACAAAATCAAATCTATATAGTATAATTTGAAATTGCCAACAAAATCTGCTTCTGAGACGTTACTGAATAAACAGTTGACCAAGCTGTAAATAGGTAGACTAGGTCTTAGGGTAATCCTGTAGAATCAATGCCAAAAAGTTTATCAAAATTGTTATAAGTCTAAGATCTGTCTTTATTGATATGTTATATTTATTTTCTGTTGTTTTAGATGTTGAAACATGGTAGAGCTGGGGTACCTATGGAAGTAATGGGTTTAATGTTAGGAGAGTTTGTAGATGATTATACAGTTAGAGTTATTGATGTATTTGCTATGCCACAGTCAGGAACTGTAAGTTTCTTACGTTTACCTTGTAAATCTATCAGTCTTTCACTGTTTCATGTTGTCTTTAAGCTAAAAAAATGTCTGATTAAATTATTATCGATTGAGGGGTTTAGATTGTTCATCTGTCCCTTACGTGGTGTTGTAAAGAGGCTGATATATGCAAAGTCTGATATATAACAGAAAAGTTTATATCAATACATTACCAAATTAAAGACAACGAGGCAACCTTTTTTAGATTTAATGAGAATTTGAATCATTTGTAGGGCGTGAGTGTGGAAGCAGTAGACCCAGTTTTCCAGGCTAAAATGTTGGACATGTTAAAACAGACTGGAAGGTAAGAATCTACTCCTTTTATTAGTGAACTTCTAAAATCTGCATCCATACTTATAATACACTTAACATCACTATGTGATGGAGGTTGTCATCTTGAAATTAAATAAGTATTATATATTGTAGACCAGAGATGGTAGTAGGATGGTATCACTCTCATCCAGGGTTTGGTTGTTGGCTGTCTGGAGTAGATATTAACACACAGCAGTCTTTTGAAGCTTTATCAGAACGTGCTGTAGCTGTCGTTGTGGATCCTATACAGAGTGTGAAAGGAAAGGTATGTAGCCAACCGTATCCCTTTTCAATCTGACTATCTTTAATGGTAGGTAGATGACAAGTAGATGCGGATGCTGATATCACAAACTAGGTAGTTGAAGATAGTCGTAATAACTGGTTGTTGGACTATCTTTAAATGTGAAAGCAGTGCAATAAATCACAGTACTTTCAAGCATGGTCTAAGGGAAATAACTCTTGTTTGGAATTTGTTTTAGACTACAGACTACAAATACCTTCAATAAAATCAGCATTATGAAAAAGATATATTTTTAGTCGTGATAGCTAGTGGCAATCTATTTAAAACTTTTTAAGGCTGGTCTAAGGAACATAACCCTTGTTTATGATGATTGAAATTACAGACCACAAATAATTTGGTATTTTTCAGGTAGTCATTGATGCGTTTAGATTGATCAACCCCAATATGATGGTTTTAGGACAAGAACCAAGACAGACAACCTCTAATCTGGGACATTTACATAAACCTTCAATACAGGTAATATCATTTATTTCCCTCATTGCACACTGCATGGCGTTATCTGTCAATATTAGCCCCAATTAGAACTGATATCACCCTGTAACAATCAATTGAATAACTGTCCATTCAGATGATTTGTTACTCAAGATATATTTTATCATTGGGTCTGAATACTTTACTTAGTTTAAGTTTATTTTATGATAAATTTCTTGTTTTTCCAGGCATTAATTCATGGTTTAAACAGACATTACTACTCTATAGCTATCAACTATCGTAAAAACGAACTGGAACAAAAGGTAAGACTGATAAGATTTCAAAAGGGCAAGCTTTCTGCAAAAAATGATCCTAAATTGTACAAAATTATTGCCACACATTAGAATAGATTAATACTGATCGTGTTTCAAAGCGGACACTGGGCCAAAACTCAGAAACACTGTCCAAGGCATCAGGATTTGTCTCACCTTGAGGAGGTTTCAAATCCACAGCACCTAATAGACCAGTAGATGACAATCTAACTAGCTATGTATAATTGTTTTATATATTATAGATGTTATTAAATCTAAATAAGAAGAGTTGGGTAGATGGTTTATTGTTACAAGATTATAACACCCACTGTTCACTCAATGAGAAGGTTGTAGGAGAAATGTTAGACTTGGCTAAGAATTACCATAAGGTAGGTCTCGTACCCTTCTCGGCAGATATTTTGAGGCTCTCCCTGTCAGTGAAACTGGTTTGAGGGGCTGTGATGAAATGGAAAAGCATTTTTGTTCCCTAATCGAAGCTACAAGTAGTGAAAGTTAACGATCTTTCAAACAATTGTTAATCGATAAATCTAGTTTAATGTCACCCTACTGACGAATATGTCCTCATTGCATACTGCATGGCATTGTCTGTCTTCATTAGCTCAATCAATGAAAATATGTGGTTTTTATTCCCCAGGCTTTAGAAGAAGAAGAGACTATGACACCTGAACAACTTGCTATTAAAAACGTTGGAAAACAGGTACACTTCTTTCTCCTATCTTTTAACCTTAAAATTCTTGAGATTTTGTCACCATGGTTTTGGTTTGAGATTGACAATAAGCAGAGATAGGTTACTATGGGCTATAGGCAATACACGCAAAACATTTGGAAATCAAATCTTATACTTACGCAACTGTCCTGGCAAAATTTCCCTTTTTACAAAGTTTTGTTTGTCTTCATTAGCCCAATACGGTATATAGAATTGGACATAAAACATGATTTATTTTAACTAATTTCAGGACCCTAAGAGACATTTAGAAGAACATGTAGATGTTTTAATGACTACCAATATAGTTCAATGTTTAGGTTCTATGTTACACACTGTTGTCTTTAAATAAATAATTTATTCATGTCGTCATTGGTTACACGCTGGTACAGTCGGGCAGAGATAGTTCGGAACGTCCAGGAGGAGTCAAAACTTTATTTTCAAGGTAGAATATATAGTAATTGAAAATATACAAGTCAGATTTATATTGTGTTGATTATTACTTAAACTACCTTAAAATGAAATCGGACTGCTTGCGTTTATATTTAGAGGTTCTCCTAAATATGTATTAATATCTCTGTTTGTCTGTACTATAATTTTGTAAATAACTCATTTCAATCTTAATAAAAACATGTCCAATTCCATCTAGTTTTATTATCTTCCTTATGATGCTAATACACCAGATCCAACACGTCTCTACAACACAAAATAGAAACAATGTAAATGGAATATACTAACTTCGACATGACGTAACTTTCTCCGGCATTATATTGTTTCTCTTTTGTCATGCTCTACTGTCGTATCAGATCTGGTTTGAGTGCACCATGTCTCAAGAAAACCTGAGCAACACAGCTAGCTACATAAACTTTAGACTAAACCATCTTGCTGAGGGTCTGTGGGTCAGGAATGAAAATAACTAATTTGTTTTGAGTTAATTTATTGATTCTATAGACAAGTAAATATTTACATCACAAAAATAGTTCACAGTTCCTCAATTATAGATATATATATATACAAGCTTACAAATAGAAATACTTCAAATACCAACCAAATTTTGAAGACAGGTCTTTCTAATAAGCCTGCCAGTTGAACATACATTTTCTCTGTGTTTTTTCATACTCTAAAACACGATATACCAACAGAAAAGTAGGACATTAAACTTCATTCATTTCATTTAAAATATGAAAAGTTATCAGAGTTTAATTGACAAGTCAAACCATAAGACAAGTCGGTTCAATAAGCTTGGCATATAAATTAATTGTTTTTTTATCAGTTTTTTTTCTATTTCTAAAACACAATATACATTGCTGAGCAAATTAACAGCAATATATATATAAAAAAGAGGGTGGGGCTGTGATTATTGTAGGCAGTGGGTGCTCATGTGCAGGTGCCTTTGACTCAAGGCAGTGTTTTTAATAAAGAAACAATCATATGAAAAAAAGGACGAAATATCCAATGACAGTCTTATTCTACAGAACAACAATTGAAACAGCCATAGAGATATATCAGAAGAAAAACTTTACTCCAATTGAAGCTATTCACAGCCCTTAATTTACATGTAGATCTTTAAAATTGTGTTCAGTCCTTCACTATCCAGTTACCAGGCCATGTATTCTCGAAAACTATCTTAGCGCTAGGATATCCTAGAAACAGTGTTATAAGATAAACTCTAGGACTTCCCAGCGCTAAGATCATTCAGAGAATATGCAGCCAGCAAGTAATTGTTATTTTTTTAAGCTATTCATTACACTAATTATGAATTCAATTACTATATACAAGTAATTGTTATTATGAAATAATTGTTATCTGTAATATCTACATATATAATTATTGTTACTGCCTGGTTGTTATTCACTATCATATTACTATGTCCCATTTTATAGTGTCGGGTTGCAATGTGTCGTTTCAAGTTAAAAATGATTTAAATACAAGCCTATATCACATTTACATTTACACAAATATAAGATCACATTATATATTTCACAGATAATAGTACATAATATATACAGAATATTACACCTAGATATATGTTAGCCCAGTGGCAGAGTGGTATCAGGTGTTTCTAGATTGGTAAGCATACTTCGCATCAATAGAAACACCTGGTCACGTATTCTCCAAACGATCTTAGCGCTAGAATGTCCTAGGTTCTTATCCTCTAACATTGATTCTAGGACATCCGAGCGCTTAGATTGTTTCGAGAATACATGGCCAGGCCCCCATTTGACTAAGGTGCGAACGTACTTACATAAATTCTATACTAACGCCTTAGTGAAATGGGGGCCTGGTAATAGGTTAGCCTTGTCGAAGAGTGACTAATGTTCTAGATTGATAAGCCTACAAAGCCTTACTAGTAACACCAAGTAATTAGTACGCTTAGTCTTAGAGAAGCATCAGACCTTGCAGAAGGGGAAGCATACCCTGCCTTGCTACCCACACCGTCACCATCCACAATGCAAATGATAATAACACATTCTGAATATAGTTGATGTTAACAGAACTTAAGCCAGCCCTTTAACAGAGGTGAGAAAATACCCACGTAAACATCCACATATATTCTAACAAACTATCAATATCTGTCTGGTCAGTAACACTGATTTTAACATAGACATAATCATATATATACATATTGATTAACATAAACATTATTTATGAGAAGTTGATAAGCTCAACTAGAAGCTAGATTGGCATAATGCATTTAAAGAATGAGAGTTCACCGCCCAGAGAGAGACAGGGGCAAACTTTTGAGCTCATGAAATGCTATGAATATTTTATTTCCAAAACATCAAAAAGGGCATTTCAACTCGGCCCTTGAATATATGCATTCAATGTATTTGAATTTGTTCATTCAATTTCGATTTCGAAAATCATCTTTCAGCAAACCTGCTAAATGATTGTTGCGTTAGGTTGCACTTTAAAAATACTAAATGTCTTTTCACAACCAACTTCTATTACAACAAAGGCTGCTGGGTAGCTTGGTAAATTGGTTGGGCGTGGCCACCCATCTGTATCGGGGAGGGATAAGACATGTAGTTATGTCCCATGCCCGGCCCAGTCTGAGGCTGTACAGCTCCGTTCTGTTGTGTATTTTGGGGGAGAGAGGACTGGTGAATATTCTGAGGAGCAGACGTCATACTAGAATAGTTCGGTTGGTGTTGGATTTGATTAGGAATGCTGAAAAAAAAGGAAAAAAAATATCACATATGGAGTTTTACATCTTACTTTTAGCACCTTGTAGACCTCATGGAGATTAACTACCCAATGCAGTATGCAATGAAGGACATTTTGCCATGAGAGAAGTGGCATTACCTATCTTGAGCGCCAACTGTTGACGATAAACACTTTGGCTCCATCAATCTCATTGAATAGCTCTCATCTCATGCAGCAACCACGTTTCAGACAAGCAACCCTCATCAGGCTTTGATATTATATAATATATGACTACCTTGTATACCCTTGACTAGAATTGTTACTAGAAAAATTCTCAGGTTGCTGTTGTTGTTGGGGATTCACTCCAGTTTGTATTGGTTGAGCTTGGGGATTCCCTCCACTCATTGGTGACATGCCACTCATCTGACCAGCTATGTGAGGAGGCATTGTCATAGGTTGTTGTCCCATAGAAACCATCTGAGGGGGAGGAGCCATCTGACCAGGATGCTGTGCTTGAGAGGGATACTGAGGTCCACCGTTATACATGCCCTGAAATTTTGAAATATTATTGAACATTATTGTGTCTGTTTTGCAACTGATCTGTATCAGCTGGTATAACTACAATTTAGACTGATATATCCTTGTGAAGGTGGGTATAAACGTGGTATTGGGTCAGAAGCATCAAAAAAAACGAGTCATCATTTTAACTTTTAAACACTTTGATTGTCAACTGTAAACACTGATTGGCTTAGCTGTAATATACCTGTTTCTGAAAATAAGGTACGATTGGTCGAAAGAATGACGAACCTGTCCCGTTAAGTTTATTTGTTTCTGACTAACCTGTGGAGTTTGTTGTGACATCATACCCTGTGGAGGAGTCTGGTACCGTCCTGATGATTTTTGATATCCTCCGTACGGCTGTTCTTTCATTAACGTGTGATACATCTGTAGAGCATCTATCACCTTTTTATTTAAATCAACTAAATCAGCATGTTTTCTGTCTATTTTTTCTAATTCAGTATCAATCAATGGACCCATTCTTTTACATTGTTCTAAAATATACAATTACATAATATAAATACCAACATAATATAAATACCAACATAATATAAATACCAACATAATATAAATACCAAAATCCCTTTCCAACATAATTTCTTTTGGCACTGACGCTTTACCAAATCTTGTATCCTTTCCAAATTCTCCAAGAAAGGTCTCAAATATTAAGGTTCTTTCATTCAACCAGACTCTTACTAATTTTCCAGGATCATCTCTAGCAATATTTGACCGTACTTACCCTCTAAAGTTAACATTTCTGCACTGTCAGGTTCTCGTTCACCAGTAGGATCAGCGTTCTGTATTAATGCCAATACTTCATCTATCTTATTCTACAATTAACAACAAATTACTTTGTGCAGATGACATAACATATATATTTAACATATGCATTTACAAACTTCTGTGATAAAAGATAAGTGGCTATTGAAGTCAAGGTATAGGATGAGGTTCATGCATTCCGTGATACATGAAAAGTGCCTTAAAGGTATTCGACAAAGTTTGTAATATCTTGAAATATTCGTATCTTACCTCATCAATAACGACCTCCTCTGGTGTTAATTCTAATGTCTTGACTTGTACTTCTTCACTAAATTGCACTGATTTTTTCTCTGGTTTACCTGCAAGGAATGAATGAATGAAAGAATGAAGGATAGATAGATAAATAAAGGAATGAAGTACAAGACAATTTCATAAATGACTCTAATCCTTTGAACACTGAGTTTAAATATATTAAACGTAATATATCCTCAATTCTTAGTAATATAACTTAAAATGTATGACATCAACGTTATGTGATGTCAGTTAGTTAGGAATAGAGCTCCATCTAGTGTTGAAATGTTTGCATATAATTTACGAGACAATAAAGTCTGGGCTTACTTTCTTCAGGTTCGACTGATAAGTCTGCTGTTACAAAATTGGCGGGAAATAATCCGTCACCACGGTGATTAGAACCTTTCCACCAGTTAGGATCACTGAAAAAAAGAATTAGATTCAATGATTAAACTTGTCATCCACCAACCAACCAACAAAAACCAAACATTCCTGGAATATTTAACAACCGAAAGGGGAAAGAGGGTGACCATAGTTCACTAATGATTCTTACCTGTCATCTATAACACTGATTAATTCGCCACTTTTAAACGTTAATTCATTATCTTCTGCCGCTTCGAAATCATACAGAGCTCGGACCTGAAATATAAATAACAAATTCCAAATAAAATGGAGATTTACATTATCCTTTCATGAACCAGAACTAATGGAGATGGGCAATACCATGAGAATTTTGTCAGGACAGCTACGTTAGCGTAAAGGGCCTTGCTTTATTGAACAATTCAAATGGATATGAGCTGTTACTATGTCAACCCTCCAACCGGCATCACTGACAGGAGGAAACTGGATTGCTATCTATGTCAGATATGATATTTATCCTATCATATCCCTTTTATCGTAATATTATTATATTGCGTGGTAAGTGATATACAGCAATTACTCCTGTTCACCTACCTTTCTAATCTCTCTCTGTACATTCTGTGAAGAGGCTACAGAACTATAGGTGGCCCCTGTAGACCCAGATATACCAGAGGGGTATAAACTAGAGCCCTTACTTTTAGAACCATCAGCTTCTTGTAGAGATAAGGCTATGGCTGCAATTCATAAGAAAATAACAAAATCAAAATGGCGGGTTACGGAAAATTTGACATTATATGATGTCATTATCGCAAAGGTTTCTTATAATATCTAAGGGTCTTTGTATATGTGTCGTCATCAAGCACTTAGTTTTAGTGAAAATGCAAGAACCAGAGACATCTGATAGAAAAAAAAAAATGATACTATCAGTGTATAATCTTACACATTTTAAGCAATTTAGAACCCTTCATTACAATCCCTTTTAGACATACGAAACAATCTCTACCTTTAGCCAAATCATCATCTTCTTTAACAGCTTGGTTTGAACTGGTACTAGTTGTCTTAGACTGTATATCTGGGTCACTAAAATCAGCTCCATCTTTCCGTAAACTTTCATAAAATGCAGGAATTAAACTCAACGCTGGATCTTTTTTAAATTCTTCAGACTCCGCCCATTTCTTCACCAGCGCTTTTAATTTCTGGGCTACTTTTGGGTGTGCCTGAAAAATGAAACCAAAAGTTAGTAGGTCCCATAGTTATCAAAAGCTCATTTCATGCTGTGGACAAGTGTTTCAGATATACAATCCTTAAAAATAATTAAAACTTTGTTCTTACCTTTTGGTTGATGAGTGTGCGACACTCTGATGTAAAATCACGAGAACATATTTCAAGATGGAACTGTCTTCCACAATTATTAACACAGGCATCTAACAACTAGAAAAATTATCATCATTATTAACATTATCAGTCAGAAACTAGCCTTGGATAGTCACTTTAGAATAGTTATATTATATTGTATTAGGACAGTGGTTGAATAACTAGAAACTGTTATTTGGCCCCGGATAGTTATTTTCAAGCTAGTCTAACAACAGTCTAATATGTTATCTAGCCTTCTATAGTTCTATGGAAGTCATGAAGTCACCCACAAAGAAAAAACATGAAACATTCAGATTTGTATCTTAAAAGCATTGCATCTAGAAGTTCATTTGAATTTTCAATACTGGTATATCCTTCCATTCCGAATGTCTCCTTACAAAGAATCAGTAAAACTACTAATGTATTGGTCTTACCGTTAACGCCTGCATGGTTACAAACGGTACTTTATGATTCAATCTTCTGACTATAGACTTCAAACAATCTTTATGTCTGAAATATAAAAAAAAATCAATTTCATAAACTTTTAAAATCAATAAACACAAGGAATATCATGTTCTAATTAACTGATTCATAAGCATAAAAATTCAATTTTTCACTGAAAATAAGCAAATGCATGGCTCTTTTTTGACAGGTCAAAAGTGTAAATTTGTCACAAAAAAATTCTTTGTACTTCATCATTTGACACAACAATGACCCCATTTTTTCTGACCTGCATATCAATCTTATTTTCTTATAAATGCAAAGAAAGAAATCTATATTTGACAAGTAAGAAAGGGTCTGAAGGATAAGGATCAAGTCTTGTCCATGGCCAAACCTTTTAGCAAAAGGATAACATAAATTCTCAGAGATCCTGTCTACCAAATAATCCTTGAATAACTCTTTATATTTTACAAAGATAACAACAAAACTCATGAATATTCATGCAATTTAAATTGAATAAGACAATAATAACAGTGTTTATTACACAATATTATTAGCTCTGTAAGTAAGATGACCTATCATATCATAGAGTTGAATTTCATAATGTATGTAAATCAAGAAATAATCTGAAATAGGTCAGTTGTTTCAAGATCGTATAGCATGAAACTCTGTTTTAATATTTCTTTATCGCTCTATAATTGATTATTGAGCACTACTTTAACAGTGAGAAATTTTGGTCATTAACTAAATAAAGATGTAGCTAGACAACAGCTGGTACAAGTTATCATTTTCAGTTAATGACTCATTCTACAAACTATCATAATTCATTTAATATTAATTATTCCAAGTGATATGATATGTTTAGTCAATATATTTAAGCATATTAAATATGATTGTCTATTACATGCTTTGACCACAAAATAATGGTGGTTTACTCTCTTGTTTCAAGTTTCTGACATAAGCATTAAACATAATACATTTTAAGCATGACCTTGGTAGGTACTATAACTTGATTTGGGTTTGTCAGGGTCAGGTAAAGCTAGTATCATAAAGAAATAATACACTTCATATTGTATCGCGATGTATCAATTCACCAATGTATCATGCCAGTACCAGCACTACTATGGTACTCACCCATTTTGTGTTCTGCCAACTCGTTCACAAATATCTAGTATGAGACTCCAGTCTTCTGATGTGTTCATCTCACTCGTGGCTTTATCTGAAACATGACAAAAATCAGAAACAATGTTTTCTCTTTATTCTGGAAAATACCATTTTGTCTTTGACATATATTCATTGTGATTATGTAATTGTATTATTTTAAAGGAATTAGTCTCTTAATTTGGAACATGGCTTATGGTATAATTTGACAGGGACTTGTTCAGTCATAACAGATGTAAATCAAATCACTAGGGATCACTCCCCAATGACATTGAAGGTCTCCTATGATACAATGTAATTTGGGGATGACAATGACAATAGTAAATCTTTACAGACGAATTGTCACAGATAGAGCATCCTGAATGCTTTGATTTTTCATTTTTTCGCAATCTACGGACAATTTCTGATTAAATTTTGGTGGATGTAAGTCCAAAGATATTCTTGACTTACCCACATCGCTGTCGAAGGGCGTAGAATTCGCGAATAACGGCATTTTTGCTTCTTTTTTCCAATAAAAATCGTCTTATTTTATCATAACATTACAATCTATGACTGATTTCCTTCCATTTGAGCATGCGCAGTCAATGACGTCATGTACTAAAATATTTTGTTTCCGGGTCATTCGTTCAAAGGTCATAGTCATGTGACAGTGAAAAAAGGGCTAAATTTAAGACTTTGTAATGCCTTATTTCTGACAAATTTTGAATTTCCCAACTTTAAATAAACATTTCTTAATTAATTCCAACCAATCACCCAAAATTTCATATGTAAAAAACTAAGCCGAGAATTTTGCAGCATGAGTTAGTTGTAGTCGTAGCCTGATTAAGGAACGTTTTTAAAATGGAGTTATTTCCCTTGGACCGTAAAACTGACAGCAGAAGTCTAAGGCGACTAAGAAAACCAAAATAAAAATGAACTTTACATCGATAAAAACATAGCTATTGACATTGGAAGTGATAGGAAATTGTGATTTTACTTTCGAGGAACGACCTCTTACACTGTCTGAAGACTGTCACGTTCTCGAAGCGAAGGAAACAAGACGCCAAGGCTGATGAAGCGACGGAGGAAGCCACCCAATTCGTGCCCTGCCTGCACCCTATGGACGTGAAAAGAAAGATCTTGACAACGTTTTGAACAGTTATCTTGCATTTTAAAATGAAGTGATGGTGAGTTAAACTATTTAAGATGAATTCCTAACTAAATTTGATAGATTAGAAAGACAAAATAGACGTACCGACGTCGGGTTTTGAACTAAACATTAAAACAAATCGCCTTATCCTCTTACTCTACTGTTAATCTGTAAAAGTCTTTTTAGCTGTTTTTATTTCGAAATTCTCATCTCCCAAGAGCTACATTTATCTCTCGATACCAATGAATATCTCCCCACCCCTTGTTCCGCACAAAACACCGATTTTAGGGCTTATGAATTTTGAGAATTTAACTGTAGGCTGTAGTCTTGGGGCAATTTCTTACAGTGGATTATCTCCCTTGGACCATTAAAGAAGGGCTTAACGCCATACAATAGTTAGGCCTGGATTGCGATTTGAATTCGTTTTTTACTTGTAATTATTGCTGTTTGTGGAGAGATCGATCCCCGAGGCTTCAATCAGCTCAAAAATTTAACTAATAACCCACCAATAATTTAGTGATTGTGATTTTGATAGGTTCATTTCTGTTTTCTGCTTTTGATTTGGTAAAATTAGCTTTTATTTCCCATACTAAACTCTCTTCTTCTCTCACAAATTAATCAATTGATCATAAACTTTGATACTGGCTAAGGCAAGCTTTTATTTTCGGTCCGCGATTCATGCAGGCACGGCTAAATATCCTGTGACAACACAGAAAGCGATGACGTTTACACACAATTCTTTTTGTTTTCATTCTTATGACTGTTCCATTAACTGGTGCCAAAAGACTTGAGACAGGAATTTCTCACTGAATCACTGGGGTGACGTGTGCGTGAGTTTATTCTAAAGAATGTTAACATTGTATGATTCAAACCCCCCTCTTAGCTCAACGACCAAAAACTTTCTTGATTTTAAGGTATTTAATGTGTGTACTGTTTATTAAATAAATGATTACTTTTGTGTTTGAATAAATATCTCATACCAAATGTGTTGTCCCCATGGCTGGTGATTTCAGTGGTCTGGAAATCTGCTATAAATTCCAGCCCATTTTGTTCCAAAGAATTGTCCACCCCCACCAATCTAATCGCTGCTAAGATTGATTGTATCAAATGTATTGTTTTCAATACATTTAGCGATTATAGGCCTAAATATCCAAAAAAACATTTTATGTGCATCACCGTATTAATTTTACAATAATTCAATTGTTTGTTTACTTCATCAAAGCTTGAAAACGACCCGTGGTATCTTGTCGAAACGTTGTGTGAAATAAAAACAGTATTTGTTATCCATACATTGTGTTGTGTATCAAATAACCACAATACCCATCAATACATCTCCTAATGGCCCATGTCTGTCAGTCCGTGAAGCCTGAATGGAGCTTATAAAAATAGTAGAAAGATCGTAGATTGAAAGAAAAGAATAGGCATTAAATATCGATAATGGTAACAATCATTTCCCTACAAAGAATAGCAAGTTAGGTTCATGCGGATCCCGTTTACCAGCAGGTCCTTCTCCAAACCTTTCGGCAATGATCTATCCCGGATCCTCCTTGCATCATTTGCAGAAGGCGAAACTGGGTCCTTTGAAGAATCACGATTAAATATCCCTTTAAATCTCCCAACATAAATTGGTTAGAATACATCAGAGAAAGATAGTTATATCAGCAGAGACGGTAATAAGAGGGCACGTTTGTCACCCCCCGAATTATACTCCCTTTAATGCCCCCCCCCCCCCATACTTCCCTTAAACTCAAAATAAGAGGGCATGATGCCCCCCCCCCCCCCTAACCTAACCCTAACCCCCCCTCCCCCCCCCTTATACTTCCAGTTAACCAGAATAAACTTATAAGAATCCAACAGGGAAGGATAATTATAACAGCCGAGTCTGTAATAAGAGGGTTGCAATACATTGCCCCCACCCCCACTGATACCTCAAAAACAGGGCACGATTGTCCCCCCTCCCCCTTATACTTCCAGTTAACCAGAATAATTTGGTAAGAATCCAACAGGGAAGGATAATTATAACAGCCGAGTCTGTAATAAGAAAAACATCTGGTGGGTACTTTAGTTCTAGATCTATCGTCCCATTACTCTACAGTATACATATACCATATACACAGTAACTCAATACTTGTACCAACCTCGTGCAAGTCTGCAATAAACACGCGCTTCCAGGAACACATTAGTGCCAGTAGCAGACGATCAGTCTAGTTTCACTACTCATGTGCCGTATAAGGGCGAACATCTACACAAAAACTAATGACGTTTTCGACTAAATGATGTGTAGATAGGCGTGTAAACGATTCTTGAATGAAGGAAGGAATAAAACAAGAATAAGTTCGCCATTTTGTATGATTGGCCAAGCGGTGTCGACTAAAAGTTTGTGAATTGAGGAATTTTCGAGGAGAACGGATGCTATCTGGATCAAAGGTCGACCAAAATGAGTTCGGAACCGCCGAAAACTGAAGTATGCTCGGACTTCGAGCCACAAGCTTGGAGGAAAACTTTATGTGTGAACTGTTTCCATACGAAAGACGAACACGTTGCTGGGGCGGGACAGAAACCGGCGGATGCTAAATCCGTGTCCAATGGTGACGTAAAATCCGGATCCAAAGGATCGCCAGTGATGACTAAGGACAAGAAACAAGCAGAAACTCCCTCACCCAAAAGCACAGGAAGCAAATTTTCTCCACAGACGCCCGGGAAATCGTCGCCGTTGCTAAAGACAAAACAAGAAGTGACCACACCGACAAAAACCGACACCAAGTCCAAAATCGAACACAAGAAGGAGCCCCCTCCAGTGTCGTCCAAAATACCACCAGAGGCTGCCAAAAAGACACCAGGAATCTTCTCCAAAACGCCAGGAGATTCAGCAAAACCCGGATTTTCTAAAGAACAAACTTCCGTTCCAAATAAACCGAGTTCTAGCATTTTGACGAAAGGCGGCAAAACATCCACAACTTCTGTAACAGACGATTCAAAATCGAAATCAGCGAATAAAACAGAGATTGGTAAACCAGGTTCGACTATTTTTAGTAACACTTCTCTCAAGGCAGGTAAAACAGACGAAAAAACTAATTCTAAATCACCAACTTCAAGCAGTAGTGTAGAAACGAAGAAATTTGGCGGAATTCAGGATAAATTACACAAAACACAACCAGAAGAAAACAAATCGAAATCGACAACAGACGAGAAACCACCAACAAAACAATCCAAATTTTCTGGATTACTTAAAAATTTTGGAACAGCAGACGATAGTAGTGACGTCAAAGGTTCTAGTGTGAAGGACAAAGCGCGGTCAGAGAAGACCGAAGCTAAATCATCGACAGAAGTGAGTAAAACTTCGTTAAAAGACTCTTCGAAGCCGTCCGGTGATCAGAAATCTGCATCTGAAGTGAGCAAATCCATTTTCGGATCAAAGAATCTCTCGTCCGGATCGCCAACCACTGCTCGGGGTAACACTTCTGCGGAATCTATTAAAAATAAATATGGAGAAGTGACGTCATCGAGTAAACAGACGTCTGGTTTGGATTCGAAAGACTTGAAAGGTAAAAGTTTAAATTCTGACGAACTCCGATCGAGTAAAGACGCATCAGTATCAGACAGCGGCGTCAAATCCAAAACTTTTACTCCCAGTTCTTTTAGTGCGAAGGGAAGGGACACTCATGGGTCGACATCATCGTCGACTTCCTCGACATCCAGTGACAAGGATGTCGTTGACAGTGCCAAATTCACGGAAGTGTCAAAATCGCTGAAGGCGAAAGAAACGGAAGTTGAAAAATTGACGAAAAAGTTAAAAGAAATGGAGGACAAGGTGAAAAAGTTGACGGAAGAGAATACGTCATTGAAAAAAATGGCATACGATTCCAAAAAGGATGAATTGGAAAAAAGTTTGTCCGGATTGAAATCTCAATTATCGTCCGTGGAGTCGAAGTGTTCAAAGCTCCAAGCGGATAATGTAGAATTGAAAAAGAAAGCTCAAGTGGTTTCGACGCAGAAGGACGTAGCAGGACGCAAGGAAGTGTCGCAGTTGGAACGCGATTTGGACATAACGGAAACAGAATGTGAAGAACTAAAAAGTGAAAATTTTGAACTGAGAAAGGAATTGAGTAATCTGAAAATCGAAATTGAGGAAATGTACGATACCTTTAAAGAAAACGAAATGGATGAATTTCGAGAGATACAAAAGGAATTGGACATTGCCTCTAAAAACTGTCGAATTTTACAATTCAAACTGCGAAAATCAGAACGAAGAAATGAAGTCATTGAGAGTGAAAAAGTCAGTTTTGAGGACAAACTTCGAAGTCTTCAAAGTCAGTTTACGTCTGAAGATGCACGTGATCATATTCGATGTTTAGAAGACGAACTGAAACATGCAAAGGACGTGCAATCTCAACTGAATGACGACATTGACCTAATTGAGGACAAGAAATCGAAAGTAGAAGAAGAAAATCGTCAATTGACTGAAATCTTAGAGCAGGCCGACAAGAAACAATTTCGAATGGAAATGGATATTGATAGATTGAAAGATCAGGTAAGCATGAGTTATTTCCCATTGTGATACAGTAACGAGGGTGCTCTCCCTTCCATACAAACCTTAGCCTTTGCGGTTTGAGTTGCTTATAATTGCAGTATAGTTGGATCTGGTTTTGTTATAGTGATCTGCACTATGATTTATACTTGGCGTATTGAGATCGATTGTGATGTAAGGGGCTTTAAACAATATAATATTATTATTCCGTATTGAAAGAGGTGTAATGATCAACCTCAACCCTCCCCCAAACCCTCCAAAGAAACACCTGATGCCATTCTCCGAGTTCTTGATCTGTATAAACCATTCTATTGCCACAATACCGTAGTTTAGTTACAGGAATCCATAAAAGCATAAAAATACCAGAAATTCCATAACAGCTCACTGGAATGTAAAAACCATACCACAGACATCATTGATCACCAGGCACGCAGACTGATTGTTTATTTTCAAACATTCCCCACTGCTAAATTTGTTTGACAGATCATTCTTTTGTAATCTGAAATGAAATGGAGTTTTACGCCCAATTGGTCTGAACTTTAATGCGTTAATGAAATGGAGGTTATACATCCTTCTGTACCTTCTTAGGCTGTTGAATTGAAATAGGAGTATATTCTACTGTTCTGTATATTGTTGTATCTTATTGGATCCTGGATATTCTACCTTCTTCTCCTACATGTCATGAGGTCATATCGTTCTTCATCTTACAAATTTGTAAGATTAAAATCTATCGTTTCCTACCAACCGCTGTAAAGAGTCCCCCCCCCCCTTTTTTTGACTACCTCATAAGACGCACGTACTCTACGATGTTTATATACGGGTGCCAGGTACTCGGTAATCGGTAGAAAGGTTGACTGGACGGTTAAATTACATGATGATGTGTTTATGGCTGGATGCCAGAGATAAATCTGTTATTACATTATGTTGATACTTGTTGCATTCTGGCTACTGGATTGTCTATGGTGGGGTGGGGGTGAAAAAAGGGGGGGGGGGTGGCAGTTAGGGTATCTGGACAGTAAAATACTAATGTGATAATCGCGGGCAGACTGTTAAAAATCTTTTATACATTCTGTTGATACTTGTTGCATTCTGGCTGTTGGATTCCATGGTTTGTTTACGGTGGGGTGGGGTGAAAAAAAAGGGGGGGGGTGTGGCGGTTAGGGTACCTGGACTGTAAAATTACTTAATGTGATAATCGCGGGCAGGCTTTATTACATTATGATGATACTGGACTGGTTTGGGGTGAGGTGGGGTGAAAGGAGCAGGGTGTGGCCGTGGGGCTACAAGGATTGTGGGCTACTGGACGTAGAAATAACATAACAACTTGATGATTTGTTGATGGGATGTTTGCCAAGAAATTATTTATTATTACATTATATTGATACTTCTAATCATTGCTTTCGTATGTTAGAAATAGACAATTAAACTATTGGGTAGATATATTATAGGGTAGCCTTTTCCTCGTACTGTTTCTAATTAGTGGTTCTTTATATAAGGAGAGCTTTGGGAGAATCGAGTTTGAAGGGTCATTAAGAGGCGTGAGAACGTTGTTTTGTAAGGGCATCTCCGTGAGGGTAGTGGTCTGGTCCCTTCTCAGACGATCTCTCTTTTTTATAGCAAAGACGTGAAGGATATGCTTTACCTCTCTCTTGTTTGAAAGGTGACCTCTACTTTGTATTTTGTATCACAAGTTTGTTTGGTATATATTCTGTATACAAGAGAATTGTTCAGATTGTTGGGTTGTGGTTCTGTTTTTGTAGTTTGGAATTTCTACTTACAATTCACGCACTTGCACTGGCAAATAAATTACCTGTAACTTTTAAAAATTCCCCCCCTTAAACTGCAAATACACTTCTCAATCTTGACAATTTGATTAAAATACAGCTCTCAAAGTTTTTGTTAGTTTAGTTTATGTTTTGTTGGAGTCATTACTCAAAACCAAATTAAAATACCTCCCTACATTTTCCCATTCGTTTATTTTTTGTGATTTTGTAATGTATCTAGAGCTGTATTTTAATCAGAGAGCTATTTTCACATTCTGTATTCAATTTTTGTACCATATTTTCTTCATTTAGAACGCATGGTTTATACCTGGCTTAGTGGAAGATGCCAGAAAACGTCGTCATGGTAACATAAATATAGATTAACTAACGAATTCCGTACCCGAACAAACCCACTCTTGTTTCACGTAAAAACATATTATTAGTTATTTAAAGTTTACATGTATCTCGATTCTTGATGTTTAACGGCTGTTTCTTTCATCTTGACGAGTACTATCTGATACGATGCCACAGTAACACAAATTTTGAATGATATACTCTTTATACACAGGAGTATGCTAAATTGTCAGGGAGTGAGGGAGGTTGAACCCTACCAGAAGCAAAGAAAATTTTGAAAGTTTACCTTTAAATGATGCATTCTGCAAAATATCTGAATAAATTTGTAGTGGTTATTGCGGTAATAATCTAAGTATTCTATTTTTGCATGTTTTGACTTTTTAAATTTGTACCATTTGTCCCATAGTGCGGACTTTCACGAACACGATTTCAGCCTACTGACATCACTTAATGTCAATGCCATTATTATCGTTTGGGGGGATTTAACTTTAAAACCTCGAGTTATTTTAGTCTTACGAGAATAACGACTAAAGATATCATATAAATGATAACGACTGTCTATCATGCAACGTCTTTTCTTCAGAGAATAACAGTTCGGACGGAACTGAGTGTACCCTACCACTCTCAAATTTGGTATTATTTTACAAATAACCATAAGACCCAAAGAGTTAGATTATTTCACCTCAATGGAAGCTGAATTTCTTTAATATATACAGCAAATAACATTTCTTCCAATCAAAACCAAGAATAGAATACCGGAAGTTATCCCTGATATAACGGAAGTTCGTTTTCTTAAAACCGGATGTAAGCTATTTCTGTCTGGGTTCTAATGTCGTCCTTGTCCAATTTCCAGACTTCTGGTATTAGTATTTGTCGGAGATTTCTGACTTTACTATGGTAACGACTGGTCTTGTTGTTGGTCTATAGTCTGTTTGATTTTTTCCTGAATTTAAAGTTCATTGACCGATTTGGTCCTACAAATCCGACTTTTCTATGGTAACGAATGATCTTGTTGGTGGTCGCTTGTGCTATTGTATATAGTCTGTTGGATTTTTTACTGAATTTAAAGTTCATTGGCCGATTTTGGTTACAAATGGCCGTGCTGTTGGTTTTCTGTGTAGTCTCGTCTTTTTGGCCGATGTTGATGTTGAAACGGATGATTTTCATAGCTTTTCCAGTGAATCTTGTCTTGTATGATTCCATAAAATGTAGGATATAAAGTTATTCGTTAATATCTGCTTAACCTTATCTACATTACCTAGTACGTTATTGGCTTGATAAGGAAAGACCCAATAATCTAATCTAAAAACCATGCTGTTTGATTGGTCAAAGATCAAAGAAAACCATGGTGATTATCGTATTATTATCAGGTGATGGAAGTGGTTGTGTTTGTAAACATCAGATATTTGAAACTTTGAAGTCAAAAAATAAATGAACTATTTTGGTGGTTGAAATGCATGCCGGTTGCGAATACATACTCTTTCTGTTCCTTTACTCCTGTAGAAGATGGTCTGTGATCGGAAATGTTAAACGCATTTTCAATTGATAATCTGTAAAAAATGGCATCAGGTGTTTTGGAAAACACCCCCCGGTCCCCACAACTGTCCTATCGAGAAGGGCACCACAGGAATATTACAAATAATTTACTGCTTGTGAAACTGGTAACGTGACCACAATTTGTACCCTCTTGGGTGAATTGCCACCCCATTGTAGCATCTAGTATCACTTTGATATACTCAATCTCTATATTTTGTGTCCACATCTTTAAATGGTTTCTTTCCTTCCTTCCTTCCAGATTGCCGATTTACAACAGAAAGTTCCAAGATCTAATTCCGACACGGACAGCTCTCGTGATAGGCGGGTAAGGTCCATATTCTCAATATCTTTGTAATACATCCAGCCTCCGGAATTTTTCGACGAACTGCCTTAGTGTGCTAGCGTTGTCTCTGATAGCTTGGCGTTTGAAATTTTGATGCGTTGCTTTCATTTTTAATGTTAAGGGGCTCTCACACCATAGTGATCACCAGTCGCGTATGGTTGTGAATAAGAATTGGGGTCATAAGATTCGAACGCAACTCTCATGATACCGAGTTGTGAGTGGCGTTCTGGACTGTTGACCACTTTCATTATTCACAACCATACACAACTGGGTATTGCTATGGTGTAAGGACCCCTTTAGTTGTGCATTGTGGACCTTACTATTAGCTATGAGCTTTAGGACATTCCCGTAAATATATAGGGCTATATCTCTGTAGTGATAGTTTACGTCGTTATCGACTTTTGAAATGCACGTACATTATATATTTTTATAGGTCAGTTGTCGTATTATATATTTTTATACCTTTTAATTGTTACAGACGTACTAATCAACTCTCCTGGAATCAACCTATCACGTGACATGGTCATGTGACTTGAAACCACTGAGGGTGCGAGGAGCTACATACATGTTTAAGTAAGGGTAGTGTTTTAAGTTGGTTGAATGGTGAGAAAACTGAAAAAAAATATACAGAAATCTGTTTTTAAACACTCACATTTTTTCAACTGGTGCTCATGTCCTCAACATACCGCGCACACGTGCATTCTTGTATAATTTCTGCCAACATGTATTTAGATATGAAACGCTACCACGTAACTGATGTCTATGTGCTTTTCATGCACACCCGCGCACTCTCTTCATAATGCATAATTTCCTTTTAAAATATCTCCACATGAATTCATTGCGCTGCTTTTATTTACTGTGATATTTAAATGCTCAACGTCATCGATATATAGAATTTCACTATGCACGACCATGTTTGCGTTGACCTACTTAGCGTTGTGAGTAGATATAGGGCAATGAGCACCATTTCATTTCAATTCTTTAAAATAAATGTTAAATTTTTAACTACATATTGTAAA